AGTGTCTCTCCTGTCGCCAGGCGCCAATCTCCCAGCATTCCCCCTGCAAATGCTTGGACACCAAAGTCCCTGCAATTCCTAAGAGCCCAAGTCTAATGCCTATAGCTTGTGAGGGAGCAGGGTGGGGCTGCTCCCTGCCCTTTGATCCCCATAAAGGGAGGGAACTAGCCTGGAGGGCAGGGGGCAGGGAAGGAGTTCATGGGGCCCCTCATTTCCCCTGCCAGGGGCATCAGGGCAGGGTGTGGGCATCTCTTGGGTGGGGCTCATCCTAAGGTAAGGATGGGTAATATGTCTTAGCATTAGAGATGGATGTCAATACATGGTGTCATATGGGGATGTAATGGCAAGAACAAAGCAAGGGGAATACAGAGGATCTCTACGTTGCAACCCGTCCCAATTCTGACTTTCACCCTTACCCAGAAACACTTTTAGACTCAACCAAATTGAGAGCTCGGGGGAGGACTACAACTCCCAGTGTGCACCACAACTGCTTTGCATGTACCTTGGGAGTTGTAGTTCCCTTAAGAGGCCCTGGGTTCTCTTCCCAAGAACTTAGCTGGTAGGTTAGGGAAAGAATGGTCACGGACCTCTCGTAAGTGCAGCACTATTTAAGAAGAGTAAGATAGGCTAGGAGGTCCATGGTGGGGAGGGAAGACCCCCTTACTCCGGGCAAAGGGGGAAGAAAGGAGGAAGGAAGGAGGAGAGGATGTCTGTTGAAAGGGGCATATGGGTGGAGAGGAGCTGGGGGGTGGTGGAAACAGGAAGGAAACTGAAGCCAGAGACACGAAGTCAAAAGCAAGGTCTTGGGGGAGCCCCACTCTGAGGCGTGGCAGGGACTGGGAAGACATGTCTCCTGCCATTCTGGCGACCTGGGAAGGCATTAAGAGATATTAGTGATGTTAAGCGGTATCAAATTAATGTATGCTTGTGGGTGGCGCCACTGGCTCCCCTTGCCTGCTGTCAGCCCTCTCCTGCCACGGGCACCCCCGAACTCTGGATGTGGTCTAGGTATTCGTTGGATAGGAACCCCCTGAAGGTTCTAGGAAAGCAAGAGGGCAGGGGAAGAGTTGGGGTGAGGAAGGGCCTGATGGCAAGCCGTGAAGGCAGCTGTGGAGGCGTTAGGTCCAGGTGTGAGGTCCGGGTAAGGGCAGGACAGAGGCCACAGCAGCCAGAAGCCTCAGGAAAGAGAGAGCTAATGGGTCCCTGTGCCCCCTGCCTCCCACCTATCTCAGGCTGTGGACCAAAAGAGGGAAGCCTCCCCTGGCCTCACTGAGGCATTTGCTACAGGTAGATTTCCTCCTGGACTAGTGGCCTGTGAACATAAAAGATGGCCTCTCAGGGACCAGAGGGCAACTGGGCGTCTTCCCCGGTTGAGATCGAGATCAGGGATGGGCAAGGGAACTGCGTGGAGGATAACTTTTTTTCTGGGTTTCCCAAAGTTCCGTGACAAATGCTGACAGACCACAAGATTACTGCCAGGACCTGAACTTGGCTAAGGGGCGGTGGTAGTGGGGTCTTCCTTGACCCTCCAGTCCTTGACGGTGGATCAGAGTCATCCTGTGCCCCTTCCTCCCTGTCCCCTGGCCTGCACTGGCACCTGGCCGCTTCTGTGTTGGCAGGACTGGAGGGGGGGGCAGCGAGGCAACTTCAAACTGTCCGGGCAAAACGTCAAGTTTACTCACGAGTTTACTCAGCAGGAGGGGGAGAGGCCAGAGCAGGCACACCCCATGCCAGGGTCCTATCCATCTGCCTGTCTCCACCTTCCTCCCTCACCCTCTTTTTCAGCCCTAGGCCAAAACAGGCACAAGCCCCAAGGCCTGGTGGCAGGCCTGTCTTGACTCAGGAAGGCCAGAGAGCCAAGCAGGCTGGAGGCAGGAAGCCCCGAAGCAGGCCCAGAGGCTCCTATCTGAGGGCACTGCCCTGCCTGGAGCCCACTTATTCCCATCTTAGGTCCTTGGCCTTGGGCCAAAAGAACTGGGTCTCTCAGCCATCTAAAAGAGGGCCTTGCCTCCTCCACCTGAGCAGTCTCCTGGGCTAGTAACTTCTGACCCCAAATGTCCACTCCTGGGCTGGGCTTCAGGTACTAACACGATGCCATTCGCGATCCCATTCATCTTAGCCTTGGCTTGGAATGGGGGGCCAGCCCTCTATCTGACCCACTTCCCTTTCCTCCCCACCTGTTTTCACTCTCTGCTTCTCTCCCCAAGCCTTCACTGTCCCCACCCCAGAGGTGCTCCACCCCCCCTGGCTGTTGGGTCCCCTCCCCCACTCTTCCCCAGGGTGCCAAGTGCAAGCACACAAAGGGCCCGATGGTGCATTGTTAGCCCAGCCCCCGCTGCCCGCCGCACCCTCCTGGGGCAGGCACCAGGCCAAGGAGGAGCTGGGGGCGGTGGGTGCCAGGGGGCACCATGGGGAAGGGGAAGAGGGCACCTGTCTCTTAGACACAGGGGCCATATCACCTGGGCTGAGTAGTGCTGAGCGGGCCCCATTAGAGCAGGCCTGTCTCCTTGACACCTGAGCCTAGTGGGCACTGCCTTCTCTCTTCCCCAGAGCCCCTTTCTGGTGGTATTAACCCCTTCCTGACCCCCCAGGCTGGGGGGGGGTGGTCCCCAAGGGAGGGGACAGTGTCTGGGGGTGTCGGCAGGCAGGAGCCTGCCTACAGCAACCATGTAACAGAGGCACTCTGGGGGAGCTGGGGTCCCGGGGGCCAGGGCCAGGAGGCACAGGCAGAGATTTCTCCTTATTTCATCAGCTGCTCCAGGGGGAGCCCCCTGTCCTTCTCCCCAGTCACCACGAAGGAGGAACACTAACTACCATCCAAACCCAGTCACAAATATGCCCTTCTCCAGCCCAGCACAATACTTCTTATGCCCAGTATCTCCTCCCAATCTAATGTCCACTCCATGCCAGCTCTATAAACAGTGCCAGGAGGGTACAGGGGTGACCAAACCAGTTGGTGTGTGTGGGGGGTAGCAAAACGCAACCCCATAACCTCCAGGCCTTAGCGCTCCCCCAAAACACACACACACACTCCCTTGGGGAACACAGAGTTCCTATCTTGGTTTAACTCCTCACTTCCCAATCTGGCTCCCCCAACCCTTGATAAACGGTCCCCTCCTCTAGGAATAAGTTGGGGGAAGGAGAAATAGCTGCGCTGACTCATTCCCATTCTCAGCAGCAGCTAGGGGTCTCCAAGGTATTCGGGCGGGGGTCAATTCAAGAACGCCCTCCACCTGGCCCGGAAGCCAGGACAGCTTGCCGGTCTCCCCCTCTCCCCAGCACCCACTTCCGGTGTCCCAAACTAGGTCAGCAGTGCTCGTTTCCTGTGGGTCAGCTAGCACCGGCGCCTCTGCCCCTCCCCTGCTCCGGACCCAGGCTCCCCGCCTTACCCCCCGCCCCCCCAGGGCGCCCCGAGGTCTCACCACGTCTCAGCCGCCCTTTGATACATGGGGGTTGTGCGGGGCGGGGGGCAGGGGACCCGCCCTCTCTCCAAACACTAGCAGGGCCGGGGCGCCTGGGCAGGCACGTGTCCGGGCACAACCCGCTGCCCACGCTGCCCCCCCCTACTCCCACCCCCCCCCTCGCTCTGGCCAGGACACGTCGCTCTCTTACTTGGGTGGGGTGGGAGGAGGGGAGAGAAAGCTGGGAATGGAAAGCAGCGCCCCCCACCCCTTTGAGCGGCCACCCTCTGCCAGCGGCGCGCACTGGGTTTCCACCACACCGCCGCGACCCCCGCTCGGGTTAGGGCAGGTGCGCCGGCGCCGGCGGCAAGACTGGTGGTGGTGGTAGGTAGAGTTCTTGTCCCCCACCCTCGCAGCGGAGTTGTGAGGGCAAAAGCTGACTTTGAAAGGGTGGCGGTGGGGGGGGGGGGGGCTGCAGCTCGAGAGAAGGGAATGTGATTGTGGAGCGGGAGGGGCAGCGGGGTCGTTCTGCTGAGCCGCACTACCGCTGGAGAGACGACGCGGCTCGGGAAGCGCAAGAAACCGAATAGTCCAGCCGGTAACTTTCCCCCAAGCCGCGGTTCCTCCCGCCGCCCCCCAGCCCCCATGCCACTGGCCTGGGTCCAGCCCACCGCGCCAGGGGGGCGCGGAGCAGGGGGGGCGGAGGGGGGGGGAAACACGCATTTGTCCTAGTTAAGAGTCCGTCAGCGTTTCCATTCCCTCCATTCGGTCGGGCTTGGGGGTCTTCCCCCTAAAGTCACGGAGGCGACTTGGGGGGGAAGTTCAGCTCAGCTCACCCCGTCTCCATCCCGCAGCTCAGTCTGATAGTACAAGTGCAAAGAAAGTTTCTGGAGACCCTCGGCCCAGAGTTGGGGGGGAGGCTGGAGTTCTCTACCTTTCCTCCAAGTTAAAACCAATTCTGAAGACCCAGGGAAGCTACAGGGAACGCGACTGGTTGAAATCTGGTTTGCGTGTGTGTGTGTGTGTGTGTGTGTGTGTGTGTGTGTGTGTGTGTGTGTGTGTACAGGGGTCTCACAGGACGCACGAAGGACACTGCAGTAGGCTCGGGTCTAGTGGACCCCGAGCCAAGGGACAAGAAAGTGGGGTTCACTTACCTCTCAGCCGTCGGGTCCGCTCTCTGGAGCTGCAGAGGCACAGGGTGTGGGAAGAAGCGCGTCCCCCGCCAGGCCCGGGGGCTTGGGGCCCTGCTCCGGTCCTGGTCAGAAGGCCGCGGTCAGTGGCTCGCCGCTCGTTGCTGGGGGGCTCCTCCTCCGCCACCCTTTGCCTCCTCCTGCTGCCCGCCCCCCCTTGGCCGCGGAGAGCCGTACATTCACCTGGCTCCCACCCGCCCCCCCCCAGGGCCCGCCTCACCTGTCCTGCTGTCTCACCTGTCCTCCCGCTTGCTTTCCCCCCATCCCTCCCCTCCCTCCCCCCGCCCCTGCCACCCCCAAACTCCCCCCCCCCCCCCACCCTTAGCAACACCCTCTGTCACTTCCTGGTTTTTCATCCGCCCCCCCCAGGCACCCCCTCCCTCCGCCCAATAAGGACATAAACTTCCACCTCTTCCAACAGCTAGTTCCAGCAGGGAGCATATGGGTCCCTCCCTCCTTTCGCCCCCTTCCTCCGAGCTCTTACTTCGCTCCTAGAGCCTTTCCCACCCTTTCCCTTTCCCTTCTTTCCTTCTCTCTCCCTTCACCTGCCGCGATCCCTCTCCCTCTCCGCTGTCTACCACTAATCTCCTCCAGTCCACCTTAACTGGAGCTCCGCCTCTGACCCCCGTCCAGCCCTCTGCTGCTGCCCAGCTCCACCCCCTGCACGCCACCGCCCTGCCCGCCCATTGGCCTGAACACCCGCCTATCCCATTTGGGACGCGCCTAGGGTTCATCCAGGGAGTGGGTGGAGCTTGGGGCTGGCCTGAACCCAGAAGGGGAGGGAGGCCGGAGACAGAGTCCGCAGTGGCCAGGGAATGGAGCAGCCCCCTCAGGGACTTCCTCTCCTTCCAGAGGGGCTTCTGTGGGGCCAGCACCTGGGGAGGGAAGGGGAGGAGAGGTTACGGATAGGCTCCGTGGCATGAAGACCTAGCATCGAAAAGGAGTGGGGTCCCGCTAGGGGCTTTAATCAGGTCAGAGCCCCAGGAGGGCAGGGGAGAAGGCCACCAGACACTCCGCTGCGGGCCCTGGGCCCATCCCCCCCTCCGAGGGAGCGGGGGAGTCGAGGCTGCCGGCACTCTGTGTCCCTCCCCACGCGTGACGGCGCCCCGCGCGCGGGGAGGGAACAGTGCCCGGGGCAAGGAGCCTCTGCGCTCTCGCCAGTGCCCGTGGCTGCCCTGGCATTTGCAGCGGGGAGGGACCGAGTCTGGGAAGGGGAAGGGGGAGGTGCGCGCCCTCTCGGGCTCCGGCTCTTTGCCTTCCTCCGGCCTGTTCCCCACTAAAGTGGGGAAACTGAGACCCCCACCGTGGAAGGAAGGAACGCCTTGACGCAGTCTCACTCAGACGCCCAGGTGGCGATAGAGGCCTGGCTGGCTTAGGATGTCTGCTTGTGGGTAGTCGGGAAGGACCTGCGTTCGTCTTTCAGTGCCCAGCCAACCGAGAAAGGTAGCTTCGGAGGGACGCTTCCCACGGGGCCGGCGGTGCTACGTACCCCCAAAGGGCCCCTCCTACTGGTCTCAAACGGAATCAAACCCCGCTCTCTCGGACCAGGTCCGGCTTCGCAGCGGCGGGCCAGGCCGAACCGGGTCGGACTTGTCCTCCCTTCCCAGCCCCCTGCGCAGGGGGCCTCCCGCCCTTTCCAGCAGGTGGCTCCGCAGGACACCAGCTCAACCTGTTGGACCACAATGGGCGGCGCCAGGGGGCCCTGGCCCTCACCCGGGCTGACCCGGGATCCCCGCGCAGGGGGAGGGGCGGAGTCGGTCCTTCCCTCCCTCCCTCTCTCTCCTTCTCCCTGTGACGTGACTCAGCCTCGAGGCCGCTGCTCTGCCCCTCAGCCAGGGGCGGAAAGTGTGAGGCGCCCCGGAGGGCTGAGGCCAAACCAAACAGCCCCCCATCCCAGACATTATCTCACTGGAGAATTAGGGGGGCAATAGGGACCAGTGGATAGCAGTCGGCATGGGAAGCGCTGGCTCAAGTAATCCGTTCCGGGTTTTCCTATCGTTTCTGTCCTGTTCCCCCGCCCCCGCCCCCCAGCCAGCCCAGGGTCAAGTCTGATCTTTGCTCCAGGTTTTCTTAGCAACCCCGCCGGACTGTTTCCAGTCGGGAGGATTCCGAGCAAGATGTGTCTGGGCTGGGTTTTTTCCCTTCCTCGCTGTCAGGGTCTCGCTGAGCAGGGAATGGGCCATGCCAGGGGCAAGGCGGCAGTGGAGATGCCCAAGGAAAACGGAGAGCAAACTGTTTTCAGGAGAAGGGTACAAGACCAGGGAAAGGATTTGGGGGAGGGTAGGACAGTGGTCCAGGACTCCAGAAGGACGAGAGTCTTGTCACTTAGCTCCCGAGGACCCAGACGCGGACAGCTCTGCTGTCCCCTGCCCCTGGAGTTGCATCTGACTGGACACAACCCGGATCTTTTGCGGCTGGATTGCCATCCTCCAGCAGTCCTGGAAATCTACTGTTCGTTCCTCAGTGACTCTTTTCCATGCTTTTCTTGTAGCACAAATAGTTCCCTTTCATGTTAGGGGGGCACCGACTGGAAATCCCTGCTTACTCCCTAACTTTGGCCCCTAACTGCCAAACCAGAGACAGAGATGTCCGGGGAGCGCTGGTGGGACCCCGCCCCCTTATAGGGAGCCCGGCGCCCCCCATGCCAGTCTGCTGTCCACCTGAACTGGTACTGGGAACTGGAAGGCAAGTGTGGGGTCCGCAGGGGGTTCCGGGTGAGCGCCCCGCCCCTCCCCCGTCCTCACTCTCAGACTTAAATCTTCAGGCAACTTTCTAGATTCTAGACTTTTAATGTAGGAGGAAAGTAGGTGAGTAAACACCCCGAGAGGAAGGTGTTTGTCCTGAGAAGGATAATAGCCCAAGCAAGAAGGACTTTATACCCAAGGCTGGGGACAGCGACTCTGAGTGGCGGCCTGGTTCCGAGACTGGCTGGTCCAAGTACACTGAGGAGTGGCTGCTGAGAGGGTACAAGGGTGTAGAGTCCCGGAGGAAGAGTGCAGTGGGCGGCTGGAGGCGAGGCTCTCCTTGGCAGGGTCCTAAAGTGAGTCTGGGGGCCCGTTTCTGGTTGGGGGGTGCTGAGCAGAAAGCGGCTCCTCCGCGGGCCCCAGGCGCCCACCTAGTCTCTGCTCCCCCGCCCCTTTCCCGCGGCTGCCTCCGCTTCCCTCGAAAAACCCGCCGCCCAGGAAACCGCTGGGGGCGCTCAGACCGCAGCCCCCCCTGCCGCCGCCCCCCAGAACCCCCACCGCGACCGCCCAACCCACCTGAAGAGGCGGTGGCTGCCGGGGGTACTCCCTCCTGCCGACTCCCCCCACACCTGCGGGTAGCACTATTTATAACTGCGTGCCTATTCTGGGCCTCTCGGCTGGAGCCCGCAGCAGCGCTGTGCTAATCGCCCCTGGGATCTCTGCGCCCCCCAGGGCTGGGGGAGGTAAATTTAGCTTCAGGAAGCTCCGGGGAACGTTTTCCAAAACTCCACGTCCCAGAGCAGGCAAAACAGAACCCCTCTGCGCGCGGCCTGCTTCCTACTCGCCACCAGGGGGCGCTAGGCTCCTAAATCCCAGCCAGCTAGGGGTGTAGGGTAGCGGTCCCGAAAGCCAGGCCGGGTGGATAAGGAGCTGAGGATGGCTACAGATGCTAATGGATGAACTTCAGCAGGACGGAAAAAGACTGTGGAGTCTGAGAGCCACCTAGAAAAGGGGCCAGAAGGTTTCTGAATACGAATGGAGAAATAACTCATATGTAAACGAAATGCAAATGAGAGGGAGGGTGTTTGCCAGCCTCCTCTCTCCAGGTGTCTCTTGGTCGGCTGTGAAAAATGTGGGACCGGCCCCCTCAGCCCTCAAACTCATTTTATGGTGATCCCTTTCTTACCTCTGTGTGTCCCGCCCTCACCTCTGTGTCTCCCACTCTACCCAAGGTTGCAAATGGGGTGTAATCTGTAGAAGAGCTTTTCTCTTGCCGTGATACTTGAAGGTCACTTCTAGCTTGTTGGTCTGTTCCATTTCAACCCCAACTATTTCCTTACCCCTTATGGCTGCTAGAGGGCCCCAAGGTGCCCAGGGGTAAGCAGTAACTCCCCTTTCTGTCTTGGTATCTTGCTTCTCTGCCCACCCTATCCCTGGCATGAGCTCCTGAAGCAATAGTTTGAGTGTTGAAGACCTGAGCAGCTATTTTTGAGAGCGCATTGGAAGAAGTTGTTACATTTCCTTTTCCCTTCTAGAAGAATGTGGACGTTGTTGGTCAGGAAAACTATTCTAGTCTGGATGGGTTAAACAAAAGGTATTTGGACGGGACCTTAAGTTGATCCAAGGTGCAAAGGACACAGTGAGCCTAGAGCTTTGATGGGAAACCGAGGGGGGGGGGTAGGGGGGTGGTGCAGCTTAAGAGAGATGCCTCCACACTTGCATGGCTTTGCCTCCTAGGGCAACTTAACCATTTCTATCAGAAGAGGAAGGCAGATTAACGAGGAACTCTGGTTTTGACTGTCTTTTCTTCTTTTTTGTTTAGACGAGAGTATTGCTATATTGCCCGTGCTGTTCTCCAGCTGCTAGGATCAAACAGTGGGCTCCAGAGTCAGCCTCCAAAATGGCTCGGGGAAAATAGCACGTGCTACCAGCCTGGTCAGCCCTAAAGTTGAGATCTGAAAATGTGGGTTCACTGAATGTTTGTTCTATTAAAGGGCATTGTCCTTCTGACCTGGGGATGAATCACTTCACCTCTTGGGGCCTGTCTATTCAAATCAATGTGATATCATTAACTGTATCGTTCTCTTGTGTGCTTTTGCCCTGTGTGTGTGTGTGTGTGTGTGTGTGTGTGTGTGTGTGTGTGTGTGTGTGTGTGTTTTGTTACTCAGTTCTGAGATAGGGTTTCATCACTCTCAAGCCTGCCTACTCTTTTGGTGTACCTTTGCTCCTGAGCACACAGACACACAAGTGTGGATGTCAGAGGACAGCCTGCAGGAGATTCTCTCCTTCCATCATGTGAGTCCTGGGGATTGAATTCATCAGGCTTGACAGCAAGCACCTTTATCCACTGAGCCATTTTCTCATCCCTAAAGCATACTTTTTTTATTTTTTATTTATTTTTTTTATTTATTTTTTTTTTTGGTTTTTCGAGACAGGGTTTCTCTGTGTAGCTTTGCGCCTTTCCTGGAACTCACTTGGTAGCCCAGGCTGGCCTCGAACTCACAGAGATCCGCCTGGCTCTGCCTCCCGAGTGCTGGGATTAAAGGCGTGCGCCACCACCGCCCAGCTTACTTTTTTTTATTTTTTAAAGTATACTTAAAAAAAAAAAAAAAAAAAAAAAAAAAACTTGAGCCAGGCACTTGGGAAGCAAAGACAGGCAGACTTCTATGAGGCTAGCCTCGTCTACATAGTTCCAGGCTGGACAAAGCTACATATTGAGTTTTAGTTTAAATTTTGTCAGCTGGGCAGTGATGGTGCACACCTTCAGTCTCAGCATTCAGGAAGCAGAGGCAGGTGGATCTCTGTGAGTTCAAGGCCAGCCTGGTCTATAGAGTAAGTTTCAGGTAGCCAGGGCTACCCAGAGAAACACTGTCTCGTAAAACCAAGAAACAAACAAAACAATTATTTTGTTTTGTTTGAGACAGGGTTGTTCACTCTTTAGCCCAGGCTGGTTTTGAATTTACTGTGTAGCCCAGGTTAGCCCCAAACTGGAGGTAATCCTCTTGTTTTCACCTCCCAGGTACTGAACTGTAAACATGAGCTGCCACACCCAGCTTGAAGTAGATGTTTGTGAGAAGAGACAAAGCATCATCTACTCTAGAAAGTGTGTCCGGACTGTGACACGTCTCCACTGAAGCCTTTCCAGCTGCTGCTCTCCTTGGGCCTGTCAGTCTTCAGTCCTTTCCTTCTACCAGCTCCCCACTCCCTGTCCCACCAGAGCACACGGCCCTGGCCTCTGCTCCTGTGTCCACCACTTCCCTAGGAGTCTGCCAAGCATCCTCTCCTCTGGCAAAAGCCTTTGTGTTCAGACCTCAGACTCTGGGGTCCACGTCTAGGCACTGCCCAGCTTAAATCGCGTAGGACTTAGAGGCCAGGGCTGAATTAGGTAGGGTAGGAGCTGGCCAGGCAGAATGCAGTCTCTAGGGGAAGGAGAGCCCCTGGGTCAGCAGGAAGGTGGACTCTCGGCCCACATGAGTCAGACCTTACTCCCTCTGCAGTGCTGGGGGTGGGGGGAGAGGGAGGGCTCAGAAGGAACCAGGCGGCAGTTCTGACCTGCATGTTTCAGGTGTTTAGAGGGGTCCTGAGCAGATATGGTGGCTTATCCTTCTAATCCCAGGACTGGGGAGGCTGAGGCAGGAGGATTGCCACAAGTTTGAGGGCAGCTAGGATTACAGAGTGAGAACCTGACTCAAAAATCAAATCAAAAGCTCAAGCTCTAACTTATCCTACATGTCTTGGTTTATATTCACCTCCAGATCATTTTCCTGTTTCTCTATCACCAAATAATGTCTGTATACTTAACTACAGTTTGATGGGGTTTCCTGCCTAGGAGAATACAGGCTCCACAGGTAGGAATCGGTTTCCTGTTTATCCAAAGCACCCACACTGGTATACAGTAAACAGTTATATTTGTTGAATGAAGATAGTCTTTGCATATATCATTTCATGGTTACCTCCAGAGACCTGGGGGCTTGGAGAATAGATGTAGAGAACTATTACTATTAGAATTTTTTTTTATTATTGCTGTTTTTGTTTGTTGATTTAGGGTCTCACTCTGGCCCAGGCTGGCCTAGAACTTGAGGCAATCCTCTTGCCCCCCAGTCTTCCAAATGCTTGGATTATAGGCACGAGCCACTAGTCTAGCATTTTTAGAATTCTTAACTTTAGGCATATATTATCATGTTACCCAGCCAGACACACATTCTCTCTCTCTCTCTCTCTCTCTCTCTCTCTCTCTCTCACACACACACACACACACACACACACACACACACACACACACACACACACCTTGCTGGGGATTACAGAGCCTTGCCCATGCTAGGCAAGCAGCATTCCATTGTCTCTCAAACTCTACTTTTTTTTTTTTCTTTTTCTTCCAGAACTGAGGACCGAACACAGGCCTTGCGCTTGCTAGGCGAGCACTCTACCACTGAGCTAAATCTCCAACCCCTACTTTTTCTTTAGACAGATTTCCTATGTAGCCACCGATGACTTGGGAGTATACAGTCAGCATGGTGATGTACTGGTAATATTTCTGTCCCAGCTTCCTGAGCACCCAGGCATATAGTATTTCTTTACAAAGTATTTAGTTATTTATGCTGGGTGTGGTGGCACACCTTTAATCCCAGCACTTGGAAGGCAGAGGTGGTCAGATCTCTGTGAGTTCCAGGCCAGCCTGGTCTGCAAAGTGAGTTCCGGGACAGCCAGGGATCTGTTACACAGAGAAACCCCATCTTGAAAAACAAACAAACAAACATATTTATTCATTTATTTATTTTTAGAGAGCGTCTCACTGTGTAGCCCTGGCTGGCCTAGAACTTGCTGTGTAGATCAATCAGGTTGGTCTCAAAATCTGCTTGTCTCTGCCTCCCAAGTGCTGAAGCTAGTGTGTGTGGGTCACCACAACTAGTGCACAAAGTATCCGTATGACAACAAAAGTCAGGCTATGGTATAGCATGTTCAGTAGGTGCAGAGTCCTGGGTTCAGTCCCCAACACCAACTCAAACAATCAACCAGACAACCAACAATAAACAAAAACCAAAAGGCCCGGAGAAAAGGGAGCTGACGAAGAACAAGGCTAAGGAAGAGCTGGCTCCAGAGAGGGAGGCAGAGGAACTATGCACTACCTCCAGGTCAGTGTTGCGGGAGAGAGGTGGGCGATGGCTAGGCTGAGTGCTAAGAGAGAGGACGAGGGGCATGCGTAGGTGAGGGTGTGACAGGTCTGAACCAATTCTATACGTGTCCATCAACTCCTCTTGATGGAAGGAAAGCGTATGTTGGTGGCATACGCTGAGGGGAAGTGAGGAGTCAACCTACTTCCTCAAGACTGTGTCCTGAACCAGGTGTGCTGGGATAGGCTTGAAGGACTGGTGTGGCGACTCTGACAGCTGTGTCTGAACTGGGACTCCTTCCACAAGCTGAGGACTAGCTCAGTATGGTCCCCATGTTCCTTAGAGACAGGGAGCTTCCCAGGTCACACCTATTTGGAAAAAGGCTGTCTTTTGGATCCCCATCCTAACACCCTGGGCCTCACAGAGGCGGCTCTGCCCATTCTGCCCACCCTCCGCAGAGGCTGGGAGGAACCTGGCCCTTCTGTTTGGCTCTTCTACCCCAGCACCAGAGTCAGCAAACCTAGTTATCAGTCTCACTTCTCCAGAGATCCACCCTTCTTCCTTGCCCTGCACCCTGGCTCTAAAGCCCTTTCTGGGCGCGCATTAGACGTTTAGAATTTTTGGCCTCAAGGCTCATTTATTATATGTGTAGTTCTGTGATTATCAGAGATCTTAGGGGCAGTCCATTCCTGGTTCTTCAAGTACATGGTAAGATCAATCATCTGAGTTGGTGGGCCCACTGTGCCAATTTTGGAGGAGTACTAGATCCTGCTGCAATCTTGTTGGAGTCTTAGCCAGCAAGCCAAGCTCGTGCCTACCAGAAGTACACCAGAGACGGGAGCTGGGGATGGGTGCCCCAGGATGAGGCAGGTCAGACAGATGGACAACTCAAAGCAGGGTCCATGCTTCCCTCTTCACTTGTTGGAGGCCCATCCTTGGTGAAGGCCGGCTGGCTCCAGGAATCTTAGAGCTACAGAAAAGATGGGAGAGCTGGGCTGCAGGTTCCACCATAGAAGCTGCAGCCACACCTCCTGATGTCTACCCTCCCTGTCCCACCTGAGTGATGCAGGTCTGGGTGTCAGGGGTGACAGATGTTCCCTGCCACCGCTAATCCAGCAGTTCCTTGATACACCAACAACAGAGGAGGATGTAGGCAACTTCCTTCAGAATTCGATGTAAGCCCTCCCACCCTGTGCCCATCTTAACGACAGGCACCTGGAGACCAGTTCCTCGAAGGACATTTCCAAGAGAGAAGGGCAGGGCCTGGGTTAGGGGTTGCATTGGTGGCTTCATGTGGCCAGCAGCTCAGTGGAAGGGTGTGGACGCTGCCTTTAGGGCCTTTTATCCACTGTCCCCACCCCTCAGACCTCATGACTAGAGACAAAGGCTCTGGGGTCTAGCAAAAGATGGTTCTGGGCCTTGAACAGGCTGAGTCAGCCCTATAGACAGGGATGGCAGTTGAGAAGGGAGGGCTCGGCCACTCCATCTTTCATTCTCCACACTGAGGAGAGTTCAACTTCCCTTCCAAGCAGGCAGGCCTCTGCCCAGTTGCCCATTCCTAGTGGCTGGCAGTCCTCTGATTGCCCTCTCCTGTTTGGTAGGTCTGGCTAAGGCTGACACTGAGAGTCGTCCCTAGCAGCTCCTTTCCAGGATGTTCTACTGGACTCTTGGGCCCCTGAGGGAGCACTGCCAGTCAGAGCTGGCAGCCTTGGTCCACTTCTGCTTCCCTTGACCTCCAAGCAGGAAGGTACAGCCAGAGCAATAGGCACCAACACCAGTGTGTGAGGTACGATTTACTGACATGACAGACAGTATTCGCCGCGCCTGCTCCCCGCCCCCCGTCTTATCCCCAGCTGGTGTGAGATCATGTGCGGTTGCTCCTTTCCTCGTCTTCATTCTCCAGCAGGTATGCTGGACGGTAGACGGGGCGCCCTCCTGGGCTCAGGCACTTCAGGGCCGGGTTCTGCACTGTGTTCTCCTGACTCCCCAGTGATGTGTACCTGGAGTGTTGAAACAGGAGCATGTGGATAATAGGTGGGTTCTCCTTATTCCAGCATCCCCTCACTCCCCTACACACACACACACACACACACACACACACACACACACACACACACACACACACACACACAGCCTTACCCTCGGTCATACAGGATACAGTACGGGACAAACAGTTGACGCAGAAAATCCCAGATGTTTCTGTAGCTCCAGTCCTGGAAAATGACAGTCAGTCACTAGAAGTCTCCTCACACCTACCACTGCCATCCTGGGGATGGACCCACCAAAGGTACTTTTGTTCCCCTTGGCCTTGGAGAAGGCTTGCTATCCGATCTCTGCTGTACCTTGCTTGCTCTGTGTAGGCAGGCTTTAAGTAGAGAGACGGAGAAAGTCCTTACCCCCTGCCGGTTCCCATTCCACAGCCACCTGCCCCTGTGGTAGAAGCTCCAGGATGGGGAAGGACTGGGTTTAAGTCTAGAGCTTTCTGCCATGGAAGTGTCCAGCCCATATTGTCTCTTATTGCAGGCATTTGAAATGTAGCTAGTATAACTTAAGAAGTCAGTTTTTGGTCTGGAGAAATGGCTCAGGAGTTAAGCGCACTGATTGTTCTTACAGAGGACCCAGGTTCAATTCCTAGCACCCACATGGTGGCTCACAACCATCTGTAACTCTAGTTCCGGGGAATCTGACATTCTCTTCTAGCCAACTCAAGCATATGGTACTCAGACATACATGCAGGCAAAACACCCATACACATATTTGGTTAAGAAGTGGTTTTCGCCAGGCGGTGGTGGCGCACGCCTTTAATCCCAGCACTCAGGAGGCAGAGCCAGGCGGATCTCTGTGAGTTCGAGGCCAGCCTGGGCTACCAAGTGAGTCCCAGGAAAGGCGCAAAGCTACACAGAGAAACCCTGTCTCGAAAAACCAAAAAAAAAAAAAAAAAAAAAGAAGTGGTTTTCTCCTCTCTTCCTGGCAGGGTCTTACTATGTAGCTCATGTAGTTCTCAAGATGGCCGTCCTCTTGCCTTATTTTCCCACCTGCTGGGAGTTGAGGTGTGTACCACCAGGCACGCCTTACACATCGTAGGCTGGCCTTGCACCCACTCGACAACTGGGAATGACCTTAACTTCTGTCCCTCACACCACTCCCAAGTCCCCTGTGGTATGTGCCTAGAGCGGTGAAACAGAAGGGGGGTGGGTGATGAGTGGGCTTCGGTAGGGAGGTACTGGACACCGGACCAGGGCTTTGTGTATCCAGGGAAGCACTCCACCAACGGAGCTCCACCCCAGTTTATGTGGTACTGGGGGCTGAACCTAGAGCTCTGTACAAGCTAGGCAGCAAGTACTCTACCAACTGAGCCCACCCCCAGACCTAAGAACTTACTTTTAAATTTTATCTAAGTAAAAAAAAAAAATGACATTATGAATCACATGCCATAAATTTCACCTTTTGAAAGTAAATAGTTGAGGGCTTTTGTTTTCTTTAGACAGTGTTTTACCCAGGCTGGCATAGAAGTCATTATGTAGTGCAGGCCGGGCTTGAAGTCACACAATCATCTTTCCTCAGCCTCTCAGTGGTCTTAATCATTTGTATTTTTTTCCTTTCTATTTTTGAAACAGGGTCTTATATGCCCAGACTGGCCTCAAACTCACAATGTAGCCAAGACTTACCTTGAACCTTAAAAAATTATATTTTTTTTTTTGTGTGTGTGTGTGTGTGTGTATACACGCATGCACGCAGGGAATGTGTGTGGTCAAAGGGCAAGCTGTGGGAGTCAGTTCTCTTCTACCATCTGGGGCCTGGAGATCAAGTGAGGTCATCAGATTTGGCAGCAAGTGCCTTTACTGACCGAGCCATCTTGCCAGCTCCGGCCTTGAACCTCTAATTCTCCTGAAGGGTGGAATCGTAGGCATGAGCCACCATACATGATTTTCAGGTGTGCTGGGCAAGCACTATTTCAAATGAGCTACATCCTCAGCCCCATGACCTAGATTTCATTTCAATTTCAGTTCAAGTATGAATGTGACTACTATAATGTTGGATATAATATTATTTCCAACTCATAATATTGGATAGCACAGGCCCAGGCTACTGTTTTGACCACAGTGAAAAGCACAATGCCTGTCACTCAGTGCTCAACGCTGGTCAAAAGGATGAATGAGCCGGGCGGTGGTGGCGCACGCCTTTAATCCCAGCACTCGGGAGGCAGAGCCAGGCGGATCTCTGTGAGTTCGAGGCCAGCCTGGTCTCCAAAGCGAGTACCAGGAAAGGCGCAAAGCTACACAGAGAAACCCTGTCTCAAAAAACCAAAAAAAAAAAAAAAAGGATGAATGAACAAAGAGCACTGCCTCCCTTGGGAGATGGAACCCCTGGGCTCGAGCCTCCTCCCAGTGGGCAAGGGGAGGACAGCACAGAGGGGCCAAGGCAGACAGCCCTGTCGCGTTACCAGCAGTGGGTTGACGCGCATGAAGGAAGGCCAGCCAGGGTCGGTGGGACTGAAGCTGCTGAGGCTACAGGAGTAGGGGTCGGTCCGTCGGGTGCCCATCAGGACAGCCTCCAGCTGGGGGTGCCTTTCCTGCAGTTCACCCAGGGCCTGCTTCATATCACCCTCAGCTTCTAACACCTGCAGGTTATACCTTAGGAAGGAAGAGGAAGGAGAGGACGGTCAGAGTAGGTACTGCCAAGGCCCTCGTGGAGCCCCAACTGCCAGGTCCCAATACCTCTTGATGGTGTCTTGTAGAAACTGCTCCAACTCAGGGAAAGTGGAGATGCTGTGGATGTACAGGATCTGGAGAGGTTTTGGAACATCAGGAAATTTCCTGGGGAGAGTAAGGATCCAGACTTGTCACGGTGGACAGCAAAGTTGCTCTCCAGAGTTCAGTATTCTGTTTGGCTCCTAGGATCAACACCCACCACTTTCTCCCCAAACCCCCTCTTCCCCCCCCCCCCCCCCCCCCCCCCCCCCCCCCCCGAGATAAAGTAGCCCTGGCTGTCCTGGAACTCACTCGGTACACCAGGCTGGTCTTGAACTCACAGAGTTCTGAGTACCTCTGCTCCTGAGCGCTGGGATTAAAGTGTGCATCACTGCCGCCCAGCTCTCATCCTTTCAGCAGACCCAGACCCACTTCCTCTGAGAAGCCCACTCTGATCTCTTATCCTTTTGTTTTGAGCCAGGGTCTTGCTGTGTTCGCCCAGGCTGTCCTCTAATTCATTATGGAGCAGCTGGCCTTAAACTTACAATCCTGCTTCAACATCCCGAGGGCTGGGGTCACAGGTATGTACCAGTTTACCTGTTTCACCCTGCTCTCAAACTAAGCATCATCTCTGTTACTCTAAGATGAAAAAAAACAGACATGCACCACCAAGAAAGAGCTTTAAAAAAACAACTCATGGGCTGAAGAGTTAGTTCAGCAATTAAAAGCACTTGTTGCTCTTGCAGAGGACCTGGGTTCCATTCCCAGACCCCATACAGTGACCTACAACCCATCTGTAACTCCAGGCCCCGAGGCTCCAGCACGCTTCTGACCAAGGCTCATATGAGGTGCATACACACAGCAAACACTCCCTAGGCTAGCCTCCAGTTCCTGAGTTCAGATGAGGCACCGTCACTGCCTCTCCCCTGACTGCTAGGACTGCGACCAGGTCATATGACTTCTGGTAAATCTCACCTGCACAACTGGACTGTGACTTGCCTGTGGTGGGGGATGGTTGTTGACTACACACCTAGACCCAGGGTCAGACATACATCAGATGCTCAACAAATATGGTGGGGGAATGGCCGTGCTCGACTACCCAGCTACCTTCCTCCCAAGCTCCACCTGTGCACACTTTTTCATTTTCAGAAATGAGATTGAGAGCTGGAGGTTTTGAGTAGGTATTTCTGGAACCTTAGCTCCCAGGGGTAGGCTTACCTCTGCACAGCTGCATGGAAGAGGTGGAGGAGCGCGGTACAGTCCTTGCCACCATTGAAGCCCACACAGAGCTTGGAGAGGTGGTATCTATCGAGGGCAGTCTCAATGGTCTGTAGGGCACTTGCTACCTTCTTCCCCAGAGAAGATCCTGCCATATACGCAGGGAAGAGAATGTCAACTAGGTAAGCATGGCTGTCACAGAAGTCATGGTACCCTTGCTTAAAAGTTTGCACTATCTTCCCAGCGTTCTGGGGTTAAATCCAAACTCCTTCATGCTGTCCTGCATTGGCTGTCTCCCTGACTGCTACTCAACCCCACCTCACATGACCTTGGTTTTAGTCTTGCCTCTGGGGCAGGGACTGAGGGGTGGGAGGATGGGGTGCTCGGGTTTCCTTTCATCCTCTCCGCAGCTCCATCTGCTTTCTTCCAGCCTCCTTTCACATTGTTCCCGCCCACCTCCAGGTCCAACCAAATCTTCGTCTCTCAGGTTTTTCTCATTTGTTCAAGGACCCTTTTTCTCTGACCCAAGATCAAAGCTGCTATCTCTGGGGTGGAATCCCCCTCGGCCTCATTATCTCACCTACAATCACCTGTTTACAGCTAACCCATTTGCTGAACCATTACTTCCTCAAGGTAGCGCAACCTGTTCTGATAAGCTGTAACAACCCCAGCACCCGGCGCAGTGCTGGTGAAAGGTGGTAATCAGTAGTTACATGGAAGAATGCATGGATCAACAGCAACCCTCTTCTACTTTTCCCTGGATCTGTGGGGAGCCCTCTACAAGCATTTCTAGATCTGGCGGAGAACCCAGACTCTGGTCCACACTGCCTTCGCCAAGGAGACTCCTACCTGACTGAGCGAGTTTGTATACAGCCTCACCAGCCTGCTCAACAGCATTGGGCAGGTAGGGGACCAGGGACCCCTGAGGCAGATGTGCGGTCAGATAGGCCAGGCACTCCTCCAAAGGCTCTTTTTCCTCGGAGTCTAGAATCAGCTTCACCTGGTAGTAGTTGCTGCCCCAATCAGGGTAGGAGCCCAGGTTAAGCCTACGCCCAAAGTGGGCCTGGGCCTCAGTTAGGACGGAGGCGATAGAGCCCTCGGCAGCAGCCACATACAACTCCTTCATGTGGAATTGCACAGCTGAGTTTTGGAACAGTCCTTTCAGTCCCTCCAAGGCTCGCCGCAGCAGCTCCGGAATTCCTGGGAAGAGGTAGACATTTCGGACAGAGACCAGCGGGAACCTGAAGGGCTGGCCCGTGCGAGGATCTGTGCCATAATGCAGGCGGGCAGAGGAGGGCACCATCGACAGCTTCTCCCAACCCTCCCCTCCTAGGGTTTTGATGGCTGCTTGGAGCTCAGGGTGTGGTTTGAGCTCCTCCCCAAAGGCCTGTGCCACTGCCTCAAATGTTACATCGTCATGAGTGGGGCCGATGCCTCCTGCAGTGAGGACATGAGTGGGAAGCGGCTGGAGAATGAGGTGACCTCAGCTGCAATGGTGGCTACCTCATCAGGTACAACAGAGACTTGGCAAACCTGGACCCCCAGGGAGCGCAGTGTCCGGCACAGAAAGTAAGTGTTGGTGTCTTGAGTGTGTCCCCTAGGATCGGAGGAAGGATAAGACTGTCAGTGCTGGGGGATGAAGGGCAGAGGGGGAGAGAGCTACATCTGTCTAGTGATGGGGTGCTCTGTTTTGGGGGTGCCTCCTTAGGCTGCCAAGGAGCTTGGAATGGGAGGAGGAATGAGAAAATCCATTTGAATGGAGAGAAGAGGGGATTCTCCTTGGGGCTGCTTTGCTACCGATTCATCCTGACCTCACGTGCATCTACAGATTTGGTTGTCAATTCTGCAGTTTGATCCTGACACCTCACCTATATTTATAAACTCAATCATTAATTCTGTGTGGCTCTTTCAGTTTTAGTCCCCGGCTTCAAGTGCCTATTGGGCAGTCTCACCACGTCCCTGGGTATTGCTGTTTGGCTTAGTGGCATCCCAGACACTGCCCATAGTCAGTCAGGTCTTTTATGTTGTCAACTCCACTTCTGAAAAATCCTCAGCAACCTTCTCTTTGCTGTTTTCACTTCCTTTAGGCTGGGCCTTAGCACCTTTCCCCTGGACAATGCTGACAGCCTCCAGCCACTATGCTCCGTTCCCTGTCCTCTAAGGAACCTTTCTAATGTGCCACGGTGATCACTGAATCACTTCTGTGCTCAAAAAACACGTGTTGTTTCCAAATGCATACAGAATAAAGTTCAAATTCTTTTGCAATCATTAAAGGCTGGCTATGTTGTGTGCCCTGTCTTCTTTCCTAGCGTAACGTCTACTTCTCTATAGAGGGATGACTAGTTAGGAGTTTGCGTTGGACCCTGTCTCAATCTCAAAATAAAATAAATGAGAACGTTTATGTTCTGGAGTTGAAGGGATAGATAGCTCAGCAGTGAAGAGTGCTTGCTGCTTTTCTAGGTTTGGTCACCAGCACCGGCACTGGGCAGCTCACAGTAGCCTTAAGTCCCACTCTAGGGAATCTCCTGCCTCCTTCTGGCCTCTGTGGGCATTCTCGGATACACACAGAGACACATAAACATAAAATAAAAACCTTTAAGTCTGGCATAGTGGTACAGATCTTTAATCCCAGCACCCCGGAGGTAGAGCCAGGTGGATCTTTGTGAGTTCAAGGCCAGTCTGGTCTACATAGTGAGTTCCAGGACAGCCAGGACTGCTCAGTCAGATCCTGTCTCAGAAAGTTCGTGCTCTGGAGTAAGAATTGGGCTAGAATTCCATCTCTACCATTTTCTTCCTTTTATTTATTTTGAGGCAGGGTCTCTCTGTGTAGTCCCAGCTGTCCTGGAACTCACTATGTAAACTAGGCTGGCCTCAAACTCACAGAAATCCACCTGCTTCTGCCTTCCAAGTGCTGGGACTAAAGGTGTGTGCCACCATGCTTCTAGCACTTTGTAGGCTTGTGACCTTGGGCAACTTTCTCACCTCTTTGAGGCTGTTTCATAATCTAATGTGATTTGTCATAAAAACCCCAACTTCATGAAATTGTTGGAGTTTGTAAGGCCACATGTAATATATAAGTACATGCCAACTTCTGGTAAACACTAAAAAAGATCAGGACAAAATTACTGGTACAAACCTATGCCTGCCATATCCTTTAGTAATACCCCTGATCATCCAGAATAGAGTCCTCTCTTCTAGTACTTTCCTTCTAGCTCGCCTATCCAGTCTGCTAAGCTCTTTGAATAACTTGCCAATAGGCTGGATACACATTAATTACACCGGTGCTTCCGCTACTTACTGTTCCTCCTGTAATTGCTGGGTGGCTCTCCCCACATCGTAAGTTGTAGGGAAGTCGCTACCCATCTTTCAACAGAAAAACAGGAGGGTTACTTTTCCTCCAGTACGTTGAGACTCACTACAGGGCCCTATTTTGACAAGCAAGAGGATTCCCACCCCGGTTCACCACCTTTCACCAGAAAGCCCTCAGTAAGGAATTAATTACCACGACCTTCCCCTCTTCAGTTCTAGACACACCTTAAGGATCTCATCTCCAACAATGATGATGCCCGCCGTCACGCTGCGTCCTGGAGGAAGTTCAGAGGCCCTAGATGCCATGGTCTTGCCCTCTCTGATCTTTTGCAAGGCTCTCCAGTAGCCACTCAGAACCCCAAATAGGGGCCGTAAGCACTGAGGGGCCGCCAGGTCTACAGGACACTGAGGGCCATAGAATGAATACAGAGTCGGGGGTCAAGGAAACCTGGGAGAGCCAGAAAAGACAACGGAGAGGGCAGAAGTGTACCTTCCTTCTTAGAGGAAGGCTCAATCTTCCTTTTCTTCGGCCTCTTTAACGTATTCTCAAGCCCCAGGCTCCTAAAAGCGTCTTGATTCCTATTCCCTTAAAGTGCCATGTCCTTGCAAGACCTACCACTTTAGATCTCTCCGTCTGCCGAGCAGGTCTGGAATTTGTTCTATCTGGGTTATCTGCACCTTTAAATGTCTCTCTCTTCTCTTCGGGTCACCTGTCCCTTTAAATGTCTACCTTATTCTGGGCCTCGGGCCCCTTTAAATGCATTCCTTCTCTCCCTCCACCCCCGCCACCGACTAGAACTCAACCTACTTCTGCACCCTTTCTAGCCCGAAATCTGTTTGTCTCACCAGGCTTCAGATCACTGACCTATCATCTCACCTGCCTATTTTGCCCCTTCACAGGGTCCTTCACTCTTTCCTTTCCGCGTGTCCTACAACAGCTTCCGTACTCAAAGTCCCGCCTTACAACACTTCATGCTGATTGGTTATTCTGGCTGTTGCTTATTCCTATCCATGGTCCTATTGGTCTAGCCGGCAGTCGCTTACGCGAATTATCTAGAGGCTGAAGGAAATGCTAAGTTGTTATTGGTAACACCACGTGGTCATCGCTGCCCGGAAATAAAAATAGGGGACTGGTCTGTGCCCGTGGAGGGCGGGACTTAGGGTATGGGACGCGAAAGGGGCTTGCTGGGAGGTTCGTTAAGGACGGACTGTGGGGTGTCACTTTATAGTAGTGGAAGAAAATGAAGGTCTGATTCTGTTTCATTCAAATACATTTAGGCAGGGTCCCAGTATATGGCCCTGGAACTTATTTGTATAGATCCGCCTGGCCGCGAACTCTGCCTCTTCCTACAGAGTGCTGGGATTCAGGGCGTGCGCTACCAGACCTCGCTGCATTTTTATCCCGTGTGCTCTTTACTGTTTTCATTAGCTAAGGCTAGTTCTAGGCTAAGAGATCAGGAGCTGATATTGGTGTCACAAGACTTTGCCTCTTTTACTTTTTGAGACAGGGTTTCTCTGTGTAGCCTTGGCTGTTCTGGAACTCGCTGTAGACCAGACGGGCCTCGAACTCGACATCCACCTGCCGCTGGGATTACAGGCGTGCAATACCGCCCGGCTTTACCTCTTACATTTAAGGTTCAAGATGAGCGCAAGACATCTTCCTGCCATACCCCCTCCCCGCCTGAGTCTCTGGGATGGATACTGCGCCAGGTGTGAGGGGCAAGGTGTGGACCTTTGTTTCTAGTATAAAGGGAAAAAATTACTTAAACTTCTTTGACATTAAAAGTTAAAAACCCGCGGGCGGTGGTGGCGCACGCCTTTGGCGGATCTCTGTAAATTCGAGGCCAGCCTGGTCTACAGAGTGAGTTCCAGGACAGGAACCAAAACTACACAGAGAAACCTTGTCTCCAAAAACAAAAACAAACAAACAAAACCCACAACCCTTTCCTGCTCCACCCCCCTCCAGAAGAACAAGTGTATAATTAGATTCTCGGTGTATAATACTTCTCAGTGATGGGTCCCTGTAGGGAGACCGGGTAGGTAGGATTATCTTGTACTCACTTTGAATATCACATCGCCCTATCTTATTCCTGTTTCCGTGCCCCTCCACCCTTTCTGGTGCTGGGGAAAATAGTTTATAAACTAATCATCTGGGATCTTTTTAAAAGTTTTTACTATCATTGTAGGTGTAGCGGGGTCAGTTCTCTCCTTTCATGGGTTCTGGGATCTAACTCAGGCGGTCCGACTTGGGTGGCATGGCTTTACGTTTTACCTGTTGAATCATCTCAGTAGCCCTAGGATGCTTTCTTTTAGTATGTAAATTAGGATCCAGCAGGTTTGGATGGGGCCTGAGATCTACATTTCCCCTGGGAATTTCAGCTGTGACTTGGAGGCATGCTAAACTCTAGCTGACCATATTTTACTCCACAAAAATCCATTTAAATCTCTTAACATGTGGGGAACATGTTGGTGATGTGGCTTAGTGGTGAACACTGGTCTAACATTGTGAGAATCTGAGTTCATATCCCAGGACTGAAAAACAAAAGTATATGTTGGATACAGTTTCAGAAGAGGGAAAGGGTGCCGAACAACCTTACAGTGCTACAGTGAATGTAAGAGCAGTCGAAAAGGAAAAAGGGATGGGGGGATGGGTATGACCAGAACGTATTAGAGACTTGTTTAAAATTGTTAGGCTAGGAGTGGTGGAGCATGCCTTTAATCCCAGCACTCAGGAGGCAGAGGCAGGCAGATCTCTGAGTTTGAGGCCATCCTGGTCTACACAGTAAGTTCCAGGCCAGCCAAGGCCACATAGTTAAGACTGTCTCAAAATGAGCAAATAACAGTAATTTTTAAAAGAATATATTAATAAAAAGCAAAACATTTCATCACCTACCTGTTCTCTAGTCAGTATATACACACACATATATATATGAACTTACTGGAATTGACTTACGGGCTGCAGTCCAACAATGGCTAGTTATGAATGGAAAGTCCAAGAATCTAGGAGCTGCTCAGTCCCACGAGGCTGGGTGTCTCAGCTGGTCTGCTGGGATCTCAAAGAAGGAATGGATGGGCTGACGGAGGTAGGACAAGCAGGCAAAGAACACCCTTCCTTCTTCCATTGTCCTTATATAGTATTCCAGCAGAGGGTGTGGCCCAGATTAAAGGTGTGCCTTCCAGCCTCAAGGTCTGAATTAAAGGCATGTTGTCTTCCTGCCCAAGATCCACATCACTCCATATCTGGATTATAGTTCATTCCAGATATAGTCAAGTTGACAACCAGTAATAGCTATCACACCACCAAACACCCATTTGCCTAATGATTTACTGCCTAATATGTGGTATTTATTTTTATTGTATTAAAAGTGGCATTTGACTTCTTCCTAAAGTGCACATTTTAGAACCATTGATGAACTTGTTAACACATTGCTGAACCCAATTCTCATTATACCATGGAACAATGTGCCCAAGAATTTACACTTTGAACATTTCTAGGTGATGTGGATACCATTTGGTTTTGTTTGTTTTTTGGTTTTTCGAGACAGGGTTTCTCTGTGTAGCTTTGTGCCTTTCCTGGATCTCGCTCTGTAGACCAGGCTGGCCTCGAACTCACAAAGATCCGCCTGCCTCTGCCTCCCAAGTGCTGGGATTAAAGGTGTGCGCCACCACCGCCCGGCACCATTTGGTTTTTGAGTTGAGGGAACTTGGAGAAATGATTCAGCAGTTAAGAGCACTTATTGCTCTTGTAGAGGACCTGGGTTGGGTTCACATGGTAGCTCACAACCATCTATAACTTCATTTCCAGAGGATCTGATGCCCAGGCACATGGTAAACATACCTATGTGTAGTAGGCAAAATACTGATACATACAACACAAATCTGAAGCTGGGCATAGTGGTGAACACCTTCAGTCTCAGCACTTGAGAGGCAGAGGCAAGGCCCAGCCTGGTCTGTGTAGTGAGAGCCTGTCTCAAGAAAACCAAATGAACCTAAAACAGTTTTTCTGTGTGTGAGGATTTTTTTTTTCCGAGGGGTTTCTCTGTGTACTCCTGGCTGTCACAGAACTCGCTCTGGACGCCAGGCTGGCCTTGAACTCAGAAATCTGCCTCCCTCTGCCACCCAAGTACTGGGACTAAAGGTGTGTGCCACCATTGCCTGGCAAAAACTTTTAAACAGTGACAGTTGAACTAGGAATAAAAGTATAGGTATGCAGTGGTTAATCCCAGCACTTGGGAGACAGAGGCAGTCTCAAAAAAACAAAAACAAAAAACCACAAAACAATGGGTGGCAATCTCCCTTATGTAAGTGTATGCTATTATTTGGTGAAAAATGTTTTTAAGCACTGAGTGGGTATGCGTATGGGTTCATGTGCCACAGCACACCCGTAGAGGGCAGAGAACAAACAGTACAGTCCTCTCTTTGCACCTCTGGGTTTAAAGTGGTTAGGTCTGTGGCAGGACTGCCCACTGACTTGCTAAGCCATCTTTGTAAAGAAGTTTGTATTTCTTTGTGTATAAATGTTTTGCGTCCATGTATTTGTACCATGTGTGCACCTTTGTGGTTATGGATGGTTGTAAGCCACCAGTGGGTGCTGGGAACTGAAGGCAGATTTTCTGCAAGAGCAATAGCAAATCCCGTTTCAAAAGTGCCGTCCCCCCCACCCCACCCCCACCCCCGGAAGAAAAACCAAACCCAGCTGGTTGATACCTGTTTCCTCAAAGCTTAGTACCATAACTACCTGCTTATCCCCTTTTTTGTTTCAGTTTTTTGAGACAGGTTTTCTCTGTTTAACAGCCTGGGCTGTCCTGGAACGCACTCTGTGGACCTGCCTCTGCCTCCCTCCCTAGTGCTGGGGTAAAAGGTGTGCACCACCACCTGCCGGTTCTGCTCGACATTCTTACACTGTCTATACTACAGAATTTTTGTTAAAATGTTTTTTGTTTTTTTTTTTAAACTCATGCCTGAGAGTATATGCCAGGTGTGTTTGGTCTTTGTAGAGATCACAAGAGAGTGTTCAATCTCCTGGAACTGGAGTTACAAGCAGTTTTGAGCACCCCAATATGGGTGTTGGGAATTGAACTCAGGTCTTCTGAAGGAGCAGTGAGTGCCCCTAACTGCTGAGCCATGTCTTCAGCCACTCCAAAGAATTCCTATTGGGTATCAGTACTTGAAACTGTCCGGATAGTTCTAACACTCCACAGCATCCCCATCTTTGTGTGCTCTTCAAATGTTGGAAATATGTAAATGACACCTTTTGACTGTAGGAAACAGTTCGTTTGCTTTGATGAGACAAGGTTGTCCCAATACAACCATTATCTCAGGCTAGTAATCAGAGTGAAATACATTCAGCATCTTCTTTGGAGCCTGTCTTGGAACTTGCTCCGTAGACCAGGCTGGCCTCAAACTCACAAGAGATCTGCCTGCCTCTGCCTCCCAAGTGCTGGGATTAAAGTCGTGAGGCACCACTGCCTGGCAATTTCAGCAATTTTTTTAAAGATGATTTTTTTTTTTAAAATGTACCTTGGGGGTGGGTGTCAGATCCCCTGGAACTGGAGTTACAGACAGTTGTGAACTGTCATGTGAGTATGGGAATTGACCTGGGTCCTTTAGAAGAGCAGCCAGTGCTCTTAACCACTGAGCCATCTCTCCAGTCCCTCAAGAAATATTTTTACAGTAAGTCCAATTAAAATAGATTATATAAGTAGTTGTTACAATATCCAACTAAATCTCATCATTGCAAAGAACCAAGTTCCCACCATCCAGCTGAAAGGCATAGAATCAGAACGATTCCACGTCATCACCTGTTTGCAGGATGGGAAATGGCTCAGAGGGAATGGGGGAGAGGGCACACAACGACAGACAAGACGATCTTGTAACCACAGTTTTAGATTATAAAAACTTCCTTTAATCAAGGTTTGTAATATGGAAGAGATTTGTCAGATAAAATGGAAAGTTTCCAATACATTGAAACATAAACCAATAAGTCACCATAAATACAATACCCAACAGTAAAAACCACAACAGCAAATTCGCACCATCCCTGTAACAGCCATGATCTGATTTTCACATGCTTTCGGGAGATGGCAAATATGGCCTGCTGGATACAGAGCACAGTCGGGCTTTGAGGTCACACTCATCTGACAGGGCTGTGGCATTGGTGGCTCCGCTCAGGAAGCAAAGCAGGTGCCAGCGCATTCAAACAGTGTATTGAACATCCGTTAAATATCAGAGTGAGAAATAAGAAAGCAACATAATCACGCTATCAGGAAGATGGTAGGAAGTAAGGACAGCTGTGTAAAGCTTGAGGCTGAAAGCTGGTTCGCCAGCTTCATTTCTTTGGCTTCTTGGGTAATGGTCGCCGGAACAGTAAGATGTGAGGTTCTGAAAGAATCAGTGAAATCTAAGAAGGGCACTAACACCATTCAAGCACAGTCTATAGTGTATTCCACCGTGTCCCCCAGCCACACCCACTCAAGCTTCATAACAAATTGAAAGTAAGCAGACCGCCTTAGAAGCAGTCCCTGAAGTCTGCCCTTTCTGCCATGTACATAATTGTTTTTCTGTTGTGTGTACAGTCCTGGGGTGTCCTTTATTAGTTTTACCTGGCAGCTGGGTGTCTGGTGTCTTAACAAGAAACAAAATTGCCTGTGCTTGTTTGGAACATATCCAGATATTTGCAGAGACCATAATCAGGGTATATGTGGTCTTAAAAAGGGTACCCTCCAGCTCAATTAAAGACTACCGGTTTTTTGTTGTTTTTCGCAGTAAGGTCATCCCTGGTCTTCCTGAATGTTTATACTCCCATCTTTGCCACTCTCGTTTCTTTGCAGTCACTGAGGGAAAGAATCCTGTAATGATGCCCTCCCCCATCTACTGCCTTGGTCTGTAATCTTCCTTCAGCCAGAATGAAGCTTCTTTACATGGTACTGACCTGGTTCATGGATCATATAATGGACCCATCCCTGACTCTGCTGAACACCAAGATTTCTCCATTCAGATTCCGACATCAAATGGGTTTTAGGGACCAGCTTGGCTATGTCCTTGGGCAACATGACATGCCTGTAACAGAAACACAGGGATGTGAAGAGTCTGTGTTAGTCTTAAGTACAGCGGTAGACACTGACCTATATACAAAGAGGTAGCTCACACCTGTAATTCTGACACTCACAGGGATATGGCCTGTTCTTTGGGGCTATTCTGGGCTATAGAGAATCTGTGAAAACAAGCAAGTAGCTGGGTAGTGGTGGTGCACACCTTTAATCCCAGCACTTGGGAGGGAGAGGCAGGTAGGTAGGTCTCTTGAGTTCCAGGCTACACAGAGAAACCCGTCTCAGGGGAACAGCCAAAAAAACAAACCCAGCAACAAACAACAACAAAACCCAAAGCAAACCAAAAGAAAGAAAACTAAAACAGTAACTACTTCCTGATACCAGGGAATTTGTATAGTCTTACTGTGGAATATTGTGTAGTAGAGGCAGCTAGAAACCTGGGTTTTGTAAATTTTTATAAGAGAATATAAAAAACACAAGTTAATGAACAATTTGAACACCTGGATATCACACACTGATGATATTTGTATTTTCTCTGATTTCACAGGCCTTACAGTCCTTTAGCTGATTACCTGTTTTATCCACTCTAGACCAGTTAAGGAAGAAGTTACTTTGTGCAGAGGAAAGGTCTATTATGGAGTAGGGTATGAACATGCTATGATACTTGGGAAATCCCATGCTTCCCTAATCAAAGGTCGATGGTAAAAGAAGTTATCTGATTTGACTCAGACTACCTCAGGTAGAGTTTATCAAGCTCAATGAAAACGTACTAAATGCTCCCCTTGTAGGGATAACAAGAAGAGCCCCCCACCCCCATAACTCTAGTCCAAATATCAGAAACGAATCTACATTCTAACAATTCCCAGGCACAAAATTGTGACTTCAATGTACAGGACCAAAAACTAAAAAACCTTCTTTTAAACAAAAATGCCACCGCTAAGCTAAAAGTTACATCTTCTTGGGGATGAAGCTACTGGTTTCCCAGCCATGAAAATGTAGTATAATGTTTTATTTATAGATCTGGAAAACAGCCAGTACAAAAGTTAACCGAGCCGGGCGGTGGTGGCGCACGCCTTTAATCCCAGCACTCGGGAGGCAGAGCCAGGCGGATCTCTGTGAGTTCGAGGCCAGCCTGGGCTACCAAGTGAGTTCCAGGAAAGGCGCAAAAGCTACACAGAGAAACCCTGTCTCGAAAAACCAAAAAAAAAAAAAAAAAAAAAAAGTTAACCGAATCCAAGAAGGAAGTGGCTGTTCATCCCAAGTAACAAGCCAGCCTGACCCTGCTTAGTTTCTGAGACCCAGGTGATGTCAGTAAAATGGTGTTGTTTTTCTTGCCAAAAAAGATTGTTATATGTTTGTCAATACACACCAATTCTCCAGAGTGCCTGATGTAGAACAAGTGAAGAGTCACAGGAAAGCTAATAATCATTTTATGTTCTCCAGTTAAGGAGCGATGATATTAAATTATCAAGTCCCTTTCAGTATTACAAGCAATGCAGACCAGTGTAATATCAACCTTTGCAGAACCCGGCCTTTCTTTTTCAGTGTCAATTCACGGCCTTGGCACTATCACACCCAAAATGCTTGCACACTCAGTGCAAGGATGTCTTTACAATCCTTGGCATCCAGCCAGCATTTTAGGCTCTACAACTACCTCACAAGCTGTTTCTCTTCCCTGTGTTCTAAGGGTCTCATCTCAGGAGGTGCCTCTAAGCAAAATTTCCCCAACCTCCCCCCTCCATCGCATGCTCTCCTCACACTTGTACTGAGCTCTAGGACACCAGAAGTCATATTCTTTCTGAAATCAGCTTATCCCATGGATTTTTTTTTTTTTTTTTTTGGTTTTTCGAGACAGGGTTTCTCTGTGTAGCTTTGCGCCTTTCCTGGGACTCACTTGGTAGCCCAGGCTGGCCTCGAACTCACAGAGATCCGCCTGGCTCTGCCTCCCGAGTGCTGGGATTAAAGGCGTGCGCCACCACCGCCCGGCTATCCCATGGATTTTTAAGTCCGTCATAAGCACTGACCATGCACTACTTTACACTTTGTTGTCTCGAGACAGGATTCCATTCTAATGTCCAGACTGCCTGGAACTTGTGACAGCCCTGCAGCCTCGGCTTCCAGAATGCTGAGATTAAAGGTGTGAACTACCCTAGCGGCTTACCTTGCACCTTAACACAACACCTGAAACCTGTATGCACGCCATAAATGCTCAAGTATTTGAGGGGTATCTACCTACGTCCACAGTCTTCATGCCACTTCAAGTCCTGCAAACCCGCTACCTAAAACAAGGCTGACTGACAACCACGCTCCTGTTCTTTTTTAATACACTAATAACCGACAGTGACGCCCTTACGGAACTGTCCTTTCATTGTGAGCACAAAACTTTCAGCTGCGCTTTGGCTACCTTCTTTCTCCCGGCAGACTTTGGAATTTCAGTAAAGGGAGCAGTTCCTATTAGGCAAATTAACCTGCACCAACCAAGTTGTGCGAGCGATGTGAAAGTTCCCAAAGGTAAATTCCAACACGCTTCTATTTAACACCCGGCCAACTCCAAACTCCCCTTTCATTGTTTTAAGGCCTCCGTTTACCTTTCGCGCATGCGCCGTGCGACGGCACCAATTCCCCCACCCACCCACCCACCCACCCAAACCTCTTGCGCACGCGCCGGCTCTACACTGCAACCCTTCCCCCCCTCCGCCCGCCGCCCCCGGCCTAGGTCACTAACTCCTCCCGTGCTCTCCTGAGTCAAGGCGCACAACCTGGCTGCAGTCCCCGCGCCGGCACTAACCGGTACTCGAACTCCTCGTCGTCGTACTTGTCCGAATAGTAAATCTGTTTGTGCGACATGACTGCTCTGCCCGCGGGCGCCCAGCCCCGCGCCGCTGGCCTCCAGACAACTCCCAGCAGCACGCGCTCCCACCCTCTTTGGCCTCGCTTTCAAACACACCGCCTGCACTTCCTATTGGTCTCTCCGGCCGAAGGCGGGACAGCTCCATTTTGAAGTCCCCGATTGGCTTGCACTGGCGTCTCCGCGAGTCGTAAATGGAGTGCCGTGCTCAGGTTTCCGAAGCCTGAGCTGGGTCAGAACCGGGACTCTTATTGGCTCCCACTGAGCCCCGTGCGCCTGCTCACGCAGCCATTGGCCCGCTTTGGAAAGCAGCCGGGTAAAGGAGGGACGGCGAGGTAGGGGGTCAGGGGTTAGTGAGGCCGGAAGTGAGTGTAATAAAGTTTATCTGGGGAGGCCGAGGCCGGGGGAGAAAGTTGGGGCGGTGACTTAAGCCGACAGCTACGCGATCCGGAACCAGATCGGCCCGCGGTCCGGTGCGGAGACTCCATGCGACCCTGGTGAGTGTAGACTTTCTCTCTGTAGCGACCCACTCCTCCTCCACCCCGGAACCCCTCTCCCAGGACCCTACTTCCGGTCTTGCTGTAGCAGTCCCGCCCCCGAGACCCCCTCCCCGGAAGTCCCACCTTCCAACTTCAAGGGGCTCCCCCGAACCCCTACTTGTCTCTTGCTGTCGCGACCACACCCTGTGGTCCCACTCTCCTGGAAATCCCACCCCCGGACAGGCTTTCCTAGCTCCACAGGATTAGAGTTTTCAGCTCTCTGAAACTGCCTTCTCAGGAGTCTCGACTAAACCTAGTCTGTCTAAAGCCTGGCTTCCCAAAGGGGCAAAGCCTGGCTTTGGAAGGAACGGTTCGGCTTAGGAGAAGTGACGCCTCTCGGGGGGCCCCGCCCCCTCGGGGCCCCGCCCCTTCCACTGGCCACGTCTGGTCCCGGGAATGTGGCAGACTCCTGGTCAGGGACCAGGTCCCCCCCGCCTCGGGAGACTTCTCCCTGTTGAGCTTGGGTCCATGTCTCAAAGCCCTGGTCTTACGTCCCGGACGCTTCTATATCCCTCTCCTTTCTTTAAGCCTTGGGCTTAATGCTCCTGAGCTCTCGTTCTCCATCAGGTGGGAGGTGGAAATTTGTGGTTGTAAGGAGTGAGATTATTAGCAGTGTCGTTTCCCCCGTAACCTTCTCTTGACTGTGAAGTAGGTTGAAGGGGCTGGGTTTCGTTTATGGCAGAATGGACGAGAGCGTGGCTTAGAGACTCCTTCCCGTGGCAGACCCTGTTCCTGAGACAGCCATAGGTGCACCTTACTATGGTTGGATTGGACTGAGTGTGGATTTGTGTGAACCTAACAGGAGTCAAAGTTTTCCTGCCATCAGAAGAAAAACTGTTTTGGAGTCAGGAGTAGGGTTTCTTGTCCTTTCCGTTGTTTTTAAAGGACCCCTCCCCCTAACCAGATAACTCCTGTTTGGCATTCATCCTGACCTCACTTGCCCAACCTTCCCTGCTGGAAACATTCCTGAGGCTTTCGCCATTTCCTGCTATTTCCTGCCGCTCCAGCTTCCTCCCTGCTGGGCTGAGGTGCAAAACAAGGCTCTCCCTAGTCGCTACTACCTAGCTTTGGTCCGGTAGGCAATTTGCCATCTCTTTAAGCATATTTAAAGGCTCATGCTTCCCTTTCTTCCAAATGCACACACTGCTGGTCATTCCTTGCCTCTGGATATGAACGCTCCCAGAGAAAGCCAAGACAAGGACATCATAGTGTGTGTTTGTGTGATTGGAAGTGTATGGCTGTGGCAGAATTTCCTCCTCTTCTCTTAAGAGCTGACAGAATTTATTTTCAGGAAGAGGTGTGGTGTTCAGTAACAGCTTTCCTGGGATGGGGGTCTAAGGCCAGGTTTGAAAGAGTAAAGCATGATATTCAACCCGTTTTAAGTGCTGGTATTGTTAACCACAATCATACAGTTTTTAATTCTCCAAAATAAACTTAAGAGTAGTTTGGAGGTGAGCCTATAGGGAACTATCTTCTACCCTTTGTATTTGATTACTTTTTTTTCTTCAGGAAATAAGTGATAGTCTATTCTGGAGCAATGCTGATTGGTCACTTTAACTTCCTGATGGCCTTTTGCAGAGCTGTGGCAGGAAACTGTGGGCAAAGGAATATGGCTTTGGTGGTGTTATGCACTTATGGCCAGATCCCAGCGTCTGGTATCCCTTTCTCCTTCCTGTCTCTATTAACACAGATTGTTTATGGCCCTATTATCCCTTTGTGGCTGGTAGGCACCAGTTCTGTGTTCCGTTGTCCTACCTCAAGGCCAACCCCCATACTAGTAGGAGGGACCCTGTTGGGCGGAGCTTACAGTCTACCAGGAGACAAGTATGCCTGTAGGTCCAAGGGTAGCCTGATCCCTCTGTATCCTCTGGCTTTCCTCACTAGGCCAGTGGGAACGGGGTTGCAAGAAGTCCGTTGGTCTTTGGTAGGTGGCGTGTGTAAAGAGCAGGCTTGCGCTAGCTCTTGCTGGTAGCTCCCAGACGCAGCACCCCAACTGGCCTTTATTCCTCCTAGTTCCCTCTGGGCCTCGATCTCCACCCACTGGGACTACTTTCCCTTCCTGGCTGCCTGCTCTGGTCCACAGCTGTTGTGGCTAAGGATGCTAATGGCCCAGGTTCCCTGGGGCTGCCACCTCACTCACTGTGTGGTGGGGGTGGGGGATGGTCTGGGCTGTAAGGGAAATGCTAAACTCTGGGACACCCCCACCCCCTTTCCACCCTCAGCAGCTTCTGTTTCCTCCTTTATCCCTCTCCTGGCCTTCCCTGGCTTCCTGCTCTCTCTGGCTTGCCCATGTCGGCTTGGATTGATCCCGAGCTCCTCTTAACTCCTTCCTTCCTTCCTTTTTTTTTTCTTCTCTTTTTCTTATTCTTCCATCTTTCTTTCCTACCTGGCACCTTGCTCCTCCCCAGACAGACTACCAGTTGTTTGTATTGGGCAAGGGAGAGTAGCCTGGCTAGCACAAATCGTGCGGGGACGTGTCTCAGCCCCTCTGAGCCCGTGAGTCAGCGTTGTCCTTGGGATTGGTCTTTCTTCTTAGTTCCCCGCCCCTGGGGAGGAGCCAGTCAGCTCTGGGTCCAGCCTGTACTCCTCAGCCATAAGAGGCTTCCTCGCTGGGCTGGGCAAGGATGTGGCCTGAAACTGTCTAGGTCTGACGTGGGAGAGCAGAGGCCACTTGTCCTTCGCCTCCCTAGGTCCTCTGTTATCACCAGGCTGCAGAGGTCAGACCAGGCTAACGGCCTGGGGATGCCCCCTGCCTGGCCCCCTTGCCTGAATTTGGCAGGGGGGCCGGGCCGGGCCGGGCCAGGCAGCAGTCCCCCTTCTCACCCCAGCCATGGATCTTCTACCCCCCAAGCCGAAGTACAACCCACTTCGAAATGAGTCTCTGTCATCGCTGGAGGAGGGGGCTTCAGGGTCTACCCCCACAGAAGAGCTGCCTTCCCCATCAGCCTCATCCCTGGGACCCATTCTGCCTCCTCTGCCGGGGGACGATAGTCCGACTACCCTGTGTTCCTTCTTTCCCCGGATGAGCAACCTGAAGCTGGCCAATCCTGCTGGGGGGCGCCTGGGGCCTAAGGGGGAGCCAGGAAAGGCTGCTGAAGATGGGGCGGGGAATGCAGGGGCAGCCCTCCGAGACACAGGCCTCTTGCCCCTCCTCCAGGACATGAACAAGCTGAGTGGAGGCGGCGGGCGCAGGACTCGGGTAGAAGGGGGCCAGCTGGGGGGCGAGGAGTGGACCAGACACGGGAGCTTTGTCAATAAGCCCACACGAGGCTGGCTGCATCCCAACGAAAAAGTCATGGGACCTGGGGTTTCCTACTTGGTTCGGGTGAGTGAACATCCTCCTTTGCACCCCTCCCACACCCCATCCAGTTCCTCTGCTCACTCCAGCTTTGCTGGGACTTCTGCTCTTCCCCCAACATCTATCTCTGTTAGTCCCCCAGCTCTTAAACCTGCCACATCCCTTCTCCAGTTCCATGACCTTCTGTTCTAGCCTGGGAATCTTCTGCCCAGGTCCCCTTTCCTCCTTTGATCCCTACTCCCAGCTTACGCGATGCCCAGGCACATCGGAGGCGTTTAAGTGTTGCATGAAAACTGACTTCTGATTCTTCCCTCCAGACTCCTCCTCCCTTGTCCAGAGGTATCACTGCATCCCACCCAGTGCCTGCTCTTCCTCTCACAGTCTCTCTCCACAGGGCATGAAGGCCCTCTTTGGTGGCCCTTCTTCACTTATTGGGGTAGCCCCAGGCAATGGGAAGTCTACTTCACCTTTACTCCTGTTAGGGACTACATAGGACAAAGTCCTAGAACCTTCTGCAAAGGGTGGGGAGTGCGGGGAGGGGGAGGGGCCGCTGATCATTCTTGCCTCCTTCCTCCACAGTACATGGGTTGTGTGGAGGTCCTGCAGTCAATGCGAGCCCTTGACTTCAATACCCGGACTCAGGTCACCAGGTTAGTGGAGAGGCAGGTATATTGTTGGAGTCCTAGGATTAGTGAAGTCACAGAAGTCTCAGTAACGGGGAGGAGGGAAGTTGGGCATTTGGTGGTGGTGCTGATGGTGACTTCTCATCGGGTGGCCAAGAGAATTTAGAGAAAGTTACAGAAATGCGACTGACTGGAAAGTGCCAACTCTGGTCTGGAACACCACCTTTCCTATCCAACCTTGGAGATTATGGGAAGAAGGATTAGAAAAGGTGGGGTCGAGGTTGCTGTTGTTTTGGGGAAGGGAATGGAACATTTGGTAACTGGGAAGAGGTGGGGCCATAGCCACTGAGGCCCTAACCCAATCAGCCAGGAAGCGGCCCCTCAGTGTCATCAAATATTAAAGGCCCTTAATTCAATCCACCACGACAAAGAGCCTGGAGTGCTCTGGGAGTCTGGCCTGGTCTTCCCCTCCCCCAGCTCTGTGGCAGCCCCAGGCGGTGGGAGGCCAGTGGTGGGTCTGAGTACCCCTGTTCCTCCAGGGAGGCCATCAGTTTGGTGTGTGAGGCTGTGCCTGGTGCCAAAGGGGCAACGAGGAGGAGGAAGGTATGTGTGGTTGTGGTGGAGGGCGGGAAGAAGGCGGATGCAGGCATGCGGGAAGAAGGCCTCACATTCTGAGACTCTCCTGGGACCCTTTCCTAGCCCTGTAGCCGCCCACTCAGCTCCATCCTGGGGAGGAGTAACCTGAAGTTCGCTGGAATGCCAATCACTCTCACTGTGTCTACCAGCAGCCTTAACCTCATGGCAGCAGACTGCAAACAGGTGGGTGGGCTGCTGAAGGGACCAGGGGTAGTTATGGGAGGGTCAAGGGGGGATCTGGAGGCCAAATTTTGGAATCCTCAGGAGCAACTGGAGAGTAGAGAAGGAAGAAATTACAGGGGTCGGGTATAGTGACCCCTTTAATCCCAGCACTCAGGAGGCAGAGGCAGGGGAAGTTCCAAGCCAGCAAGGGCTATATAGTGAGACCCTGCACCCCTGCCCCCCCAAAAAGAGAATGAAATTAGGAGAATGTAGGATTGGAAGCCAAGAGAGGGAGACTGGGGTTCCAAGGTTCTGAGCTGGGGTGAGGAGACACACTGAGCTCTGAGGCTGCCTGACACTTGCCATTCCCTTCTCCATCCCCTGCCCTCATCAGATCATTGCCAACCATCACATGCAATCTATCTCATTCGCGTCTGGTGGGGATCCGGTGAGTTGGGGAACAGAGGAAAGATGGGGGTGGGGGAATGAGAGACTAGGGGCTAAGAAGGAAGATACTGGCCAGAGGATGGGCGTGGTGGCACATGCCTTTAATCCCAGCACCCTGTAAGTTCCAGGACAGCCAGGGAAATCCTTTTTTGAAAAACCAAAAGAGGGGGAGAGAGAGAGAGAGAGAGATAGAGAGGGAGAGGGAGGATTGTGGAAATGCTGAAAAGGACAGAGTCTTATCGGGTCAAGTAAGATGGGGTTGTAAAATTTAGCTAACTGGTCTCTTCTGAATCTCTCCTCTCTAGGACACAGCTGAGTATGTTGCCTATGTTGCCAAAGACCCTGTAAATCAGAGAGGTGAGGCCTGTGAGCAACACCGGGTGGGGCCAATTCTCTGAGAGGCATGTGGGATCACTTCCCCTACTCTACTTGATAGGGCTATTCTGCTGAGGATTGGGGGGTGGGAGGCTCCTGCCCATATGTCCTCCCAACACCTTACCTCAGAGCTCACTGTAGTTTCTACTGTGCCCCTAGCCTGCCATATCCTGGAGTGTCCTGAAGGGCTTGCTCAGGATGTCATCAGCACCATCGGTCAGGCCTTTGAGTTGCGCTTCAAACAATATCTCAGGAATCCACCCAAGCTGGTCACCCCCCATGACAGGTGAGCTGTGTAAAGAGTGGGATGCAGCTTGGGAGCCTCAGGCTGGGGTTGGGAAGTAGTTTTCTCTTCCCATGCTTGAGCTCCAAGAGTTCAGAAAAGGTAATGACCTATGTGACCCTGCCTCCCTCTTGCTACTGTGTTAGGTCTCCAGTGGCTCAGCAGGACAGTCTGTTGAGGGCCAGGTCTGCTGCAGGGACAAGTTCTTCCTTTTGTTTGCCTAGGGTGAGGTTATATTCCAGCACCTCCCACTAGGTTGCCTTTCCTAGCTGGATGGACTCTGGCTCAGGCTCCTCATTTCTAGCCTATCCCTGTGTTCTCATATACTCTTTTTTTCCCTTAAAGATTTATTTTTATTTTATGCACATGTGTATTTTACTGCATGTATGTAAGTGTATACAGTGCCTGTGGAAGCCAAAAGAGGCCATTGGATACCCTGGAACTGGAATTAAAGGTGGTTGTGAGCTGCCATGTGAGTTCTGGGAACCAAACCTGGGTCCTCTGAAAGATGAGCAGTGTTCTTAACCCCGGAGCATCATACTTCCCCATTCATTGCTCTGTGCTTCCCTGCTTCTGAAGGTCATTAGCAATCTAGATTTTAGCCAGGTGCTGGTGGCACGTGTCTTTAATCCCAGTACCAGCAGGCAGAAGCAAGTGGATCTCTGTGAGTTTGAGGACAGCCTGGTCTACCAAGCGAGTTCCAGGAAAGGTGCAAAGCTACACAGAGAAACCCTGTCTTGAAAAAACAAAAAAACAAAAAACAAAAAAACAAATCTAGATTGAGAAGAGTGGTTTTTTTTCTGCATGTGTGTTTGTGTTGGGGCATATGTTATATGTGCAAATATGTACCTGCATGTGTGTGCATGTAGAGGTCTGAAGTTGGTATCATATGTCTTCCTCTATTGGGTCACACTTTGTTTATTGAAGGTCAGGATCTCTCCCTAGCCGGGAGCTTGCCAGATATGGTTAGCAGCAACTGCTTGCTCTGGAGCCTGTCTCTGTCTGGGGTTACAGGTGGCCCCCATTCTTATACAGGTGGCCTGGCTTGTGCATGGGTTCTGGTGATCTGAACTCTGACCCTCACACTTTAGCTACTGAGTCATTTCCAGAGCATCTCTTTTATCTGAGACCCCCCATGTTTCTTTTTTCACGTTTCGAGAGATAAACAGTGTGACCATCAGGGACTTTGTACGTTAGGCCTTCCTGGCTATCCATCCCTGTGTTCAGGAGTGCTTCTGTCCCTCTTAGGAGATACCGAGGCTGTCAAAGTGCGAGGTTTTGGTTTAAAACCAAGTTAATCTGACCCACAGTAGATGCCTAGTGTGTGGTCACGGTTCTCTTCCCTTCCTGGGTCTCTTGGCCACCACATATTTACACCGGCCTCACTCCATCCATCCCTTCTCAGGATGGCTGGCTTTGACGGCTCAGCTTGGGATGAGGAGGAGGAAGAGCCACCCGACCATCAGTACTATAATGACTTCCCAGGGAAGGAACCCCCTCTCGGCGGGGTGGTAGACATGAGGCTTCGAGAAGGGGCTGCTCGACCCTCTCTGCCCACTGCCCAGATGCCCAGCCACTTGGGAGCTACGCTGGTAAGCTTCTAGGATGGAGACCACCAGTCTAGGGTGGGGGTGGTGGCTAGGACCTGGGTCTCACCTGATTTTCCTTCTTACAGCCTGTAGGGCAGCATGCTGCAGGAGACCCTGAAGTCCGTAAACAGATGCTGCCTCCCCCACCTTGCCCAGGTAGGAACAGTTTGCCGAATGGGACAAGAGATGGGTACAGAAGGCAGGTCTGGGATTGACGTAGTCTGTGTCTTTCCTTAACAGGCAGAGAACTCTTCGATGACCCTTCCTATGTCAACATCCAGAATCTAGACAAGGCCCGGCAAGCTGGGGGTGGGGCCGGGCCTCCCAATCCTTCCCTTAATGGCAGTGCACCCCGAGACCTCTTTGACATGAGTGAGTGAGTCTCTTGTAGCCCCACGTTCCTCCTTTTCTGCTTATCTGGTCTCACTACCTGACTTCCCACAGAGCCTGGGTCTTGGGTGTATATTGGGCCCGTTCTCCTAGCCATCTCTCTACACCCCTAGAGCCCTTTGAAGATGCCCTTCGTGTGCCTCCACCTCCCCAGTCCATGTCCATGGCTGAGCAGCTGCAAGGGGAGTCCTGGTTCCACGGGAAGCTGAGCCGGCGGGAGGCTGAGGCACTGCTCCAGCTCAATGGTGACTTCTTGGTGCGAGAGAGCACAACCACACCTGGCCAGTACGTGCTCACTGGCCTGCAGAGTGGGCAGCCCAAACACCTGCTGCTAGTGGACCCTGAAGGCGTGGTGAGTGGCGGAGGTGTGCATGTGTAGGGATAGTAGAGAAAGGGACTGTTTCCTCTCCTTACTGCTTTCTGCAGGTCTCCTTTGCTCTTCTAGGTACTTGGTATCTGCCTGCAGTGGCCTGAGGTTCCTTCCCTCCTGTCCCTCAGTCTGAGCTGTTCTCTTTTGGTTTTTCAAGACAGGGTTTCTCTGTGTAACAGCTATGGCTGTCCTGGAACTCACTCTGTAGACCAGGCTGACTTCAAACTCACAGAGATCCACCTGCCTCTGCCTCCTGAGTGCTGGGACTAAAGGCGTGCACTACCACGGCCGCCTCTGAGCTGTGTTCTTTACAGTTCTGACCAGTCCTCCAATCCCAGACCTAGAAGTGCTTACCTGATCTGTGCTCCTTTTCCAAGTGAGGAAGTGACCCATCACCAACGTCAGATGGTCATGGAGTAGAGACCCCAAATTTCCTCTTTCGAGAGGAGTCAAGAGTCTCTCTAGTCCCTTAGCTTCAAATTCAATGTCCTTTTCCCTCCTTTTTCAAAATCTGACCTGCCTCTGGTTTACCTTACAACCTTGGTGTCTTTTCTCGGCCTCTTTCCTACATTTGTACTGTGTGTCCTCCATTGAGACATACCAGTTCTTTCAAGTCAGAAGTTTCACTGCTTATCAGCTTCCATGTTTTTGGGCTCATGTCTCCTTTCACATTCTCCCAGTTCACTGGCCTATCCATTCCTGTGTGTGAATATCTTCTCTGTAAAGAAGCCTAGATAATCATGGCTGACCGCCCCCTCCCCCCGGTTGAGGTCTTCCTGAACTCTTCACTTGAACTGGCCCTCTCATTTCCCACCTTCCCAGGTTCGGACAAAGGATCACCGCTTTGAGAGTGTCAGTCATCTCATCAGCTATCACATGGACAATCACTTGCCCATCATCTCTGCGGGCAGCGAACTGTGTCTACAGCAGCCTGTGGATCGGAAAGCGTGATCCTCAGTCTTTCCTGGATGCCCTCTGTCCCTTTCTCCTGTGTTCTGTAACTCCTGGGACCTCTGTTCTGTGGGTCTGGCCTTGGGTGGGAACTGGGGGCCGTGTGGACACTGGGTGCTCACCTGAGAGGGGTTTTAGTTCAGAACCTGGGGTAGCATTCTGCTTCTGCCCAAACCTCACCAAAGTATTAATGTACAGAGTGGTCCCTTGCCTGGGCCTTGTCTGTGCCAACCTGATGCCCTTTCCCCCAAAGGGTGGGTTCTTACAATGGAAAAGTGCCCTGTGCTGATAGGCCCAGTGGAGCAATTGCCCTTTGGGGGAAGGGAAATAATCATACCTCTGGTTTACCCCTGGTCTTCAGGGTACCCCAGATCCCTCTGAACATATCCTGCTCCCTGTGCATCCCCTTAAAACTTTGTGCCTTTGACTATCTCCTACGTCTGCAGATACTTTCTGCAGAGTTCTCAGGCCCGTCATGGATAGGGGTTGTTGACCCCTTGGCTTCTGGAGCACTGTCATGCTCAGCATCTCTTCCTGGGTTTGGGAAGAAGGGGGCAGGAGTGGCAGCTATCTCCTCTGCCTTGTGACTGTGCAGCCTTTAAGAGATTGCCCCAAGCTGGGCTTGGTGGCACATGCCTTTAATCACAGCACTCAGGAGGCAGAAACAAGAGGATTTGTGAGGCCAGCCTGGTCTATCATAGAGTGAGTTCCAGGACAGTCAGGACTATGTAGAGAGGCCCTGACTCCAAAAACCAAAAAGAGAGAGACAGAAATTGCCCCAGCGCCCCCTCCTGGTGGCAGGGGGAGGGGCGGGATTGGACCGCTGCCTTGCTCAGTGCCTCCTGGCCTCGCTCCCTTTTCTCCACGGGGTCTATACATTTCTTAAGCCTGCCCCTCCCATGATTGCATGTGTGTTAGTCTACACAGCCAAAGTATAGCCCTTCTTCCTGCAACCCCATCCAGTCTCCCTCTTTTGGGATGGGTGTGTGTGACTGACATGGTCCTCCAGTATGTGTACAGTTAACCTCGGGGTGGGTTTTGTGGAGGTGTTGAGACTGAAGCAGCAGACAATCCCCATACCGTCTGTCGGTCTGGAACTGCACTGTGGTTTTTTTTTTTGACACACATGCATTTTAGGGCTGTAGATTTATTTTCCCGATTTTGTTTCTGTTGCTTACTTTTCAGCACAAATTATGATAGTCGATTACATTTATACATCACCTCGTTGACTTTTCCAAACCTTTTTTTTTAAACAACTGTTGGGACTTTACTCTCTGGCCTAAAAGGAACTAGGACAGGGTTCGTTTTTCTTCTTCCTCAAGAGAGCTGAGAAGAACTTTGGTTAAATAGTGTTGTGGGGTCATGATGTGAAAGCTCACTGCAGATCCTACATTCTGCCTGTGGGCCGATGCATTCAAGACAGAAACCTTGCAAGGAGGGTAGACTGGTTTTCAATCTTGGCCTATTTTTGGTTTGGCTGTCTTATACCAAAGGGAAATAGTCTTCATTAAAGTCCATATTTCTTCTACCTCGGCCTCTCAACATCTCTAGAAAGTCTGATTGATGGGGGCTGTCAGTGGGAGGTGGTGGAGGACCCCACCTGGGCCAGGCCCATTGGGCTCAAAGCCAGCGCCTGTCCACGGAACCGAATCTGCGAGGATTTGGGGGCAGTGAGGCTGCGCGGTGGGGACGTATGTGAAAGGCGACTGGCTCACGGTGGGAAGGGGCGTGTCCGGACCGCCCCCAGGCCCACGGGGAGCTCGCCCGGCCCCCGTCGAGTGGTGCACCCCACACAGCTGCAAGGCCAGCTCGGGCGGTGTTAGCTACACTTCGGAGGAGTGGCGTGGCGAGGCCCAGCCTTCCTGGGTGCGGCGTCTGGGCCCTTCCCATCTTCCCCTCCCTACGGAGCTTGGTGGTGGCGGCGACCCATTGGAGTTCCGGTTCCGGTTGCTGTAGCCGCGGGCGGGCGGTGAGTCTGGAGCAGGCGTGCAGTTGGTGCTCTGGCTCTGCGCCTTCCCCTCGCCGTGTCTAGGTCTTGCTGCAGCTCGGGGGTGCTGCGCTGCCCCTGACTCCCCTCCGGGCGATGGTGCGGCCTGAGGACGCTTCCATCCCCCACCGACGCTGACTCGGGTCCCCCAATCCATGGCCGCCTCGGCGCCGCCCCCACCGGACAAGCTGGAGGGAGGCAGCGGCCCCGCACCGCCCCCCGCGCCGCCCAGCACCGGGAGGAAGCAGGGCAAGGCCGGTGAGAGCGCAGAGTGGGGCGGGGGCGGTCGAGGCCCGGGACCCTGGAACCTCGGATGGAAGGGTTGGGGGATGGGGAGGTTGCCTAGGGGTCTGGAGGTAGCCTCAGGTGAGAACGGTTAGTGGTTGGGGGCAAGTGTCACAGATCACTTGAGGTTTTGGAGCCGGGTAACTTTGATTTCAAGGAAGATGTAGGATGTAGCTGAGAGTGTAGTCACACTAGTCATGTTTCCTATTTCACCCCTGTTTCTTAAATAAGTAAGCAAGTGTACGTGGAAGTTAGAGTCTGGAGAGTGGCTGGGAGGAAGGAGACAGTAGAAACCTCGGGAAAACTTGCCTCCGTCTGCCTATTGCTGCTCTTCCAGGTCTGCAAATGAAGAGCCCTGAAAAGAAACGAAGAAAGTCCAACACTCAGGTAAATGGGGGTCCGCGGTGGGAGTAGTCCCTAGAAGCCCCTCCTACTTTGTCTGTCTATCTGGCTGCCCTTTTGTGATTTCCAGGAGGTGCAGGAAAAGGAAAAAGCGGAAATACCCTTCTTTCTTTCCCTCTTGGTTCCTAGTTCTGTCTCAGTGGTAGCATTGAGCCCAGCCTCACCTTTTTCCTTTCTTTCTCCCTCGTTGAGACAGTTGTCTGGTGTGTCCCAGACTGACTTCAGATTTGCTGCGTAGCCAAGGATGACTTTAAATCCATGATCCTCCTGCTCTTCCTTCCAAAGCAGTGGGATTACAGATGTCCATCACCGCACTGGGTTTCTGCAGTGCTGGGGACCCAAAGGATGAGTGCTAGGTGCCCTTAGAGGCCAGAAGAGAGGATCAGAGTGCCCAGAACTGGAGGTACAGGCAGTTATGAGCCACCACGTGGGTGCTGGGAACAGAACCCAGGGCTTGTGCAAGAGCAGCAAGTGCTCTTAAGCCTGTGAGCCATCTCTCCAGCCTGTACTCTTACTGTTTTTGAGACCAGGTGCTGAGCTTGGTTTTGATCTCTTAGCTCGCCTGCTTCAACCTCCCGAGTGCTAGGTAGCATTACTGGCATGTCTCACCAGGCCCAACTTGCTGAGTCTTTCCTAAGTGGTGTAGTAACGCTACAGAGCTTTAACAGTTGTTCCTGTTATAAAAGTTGAGAAAATAAGAGACTTTTTAAAAAGTTAGATATTCAGCCGGGTGTGGTGGTGCACACCTTTAATCCCAGCACCAAAACAAAGCAAAAAAAGTTAAATATTCAGTATCGAGTGCTTGCCTAGCTAGCTTGCACAAAGCCCTGAATTCAAGTCCCAGCATCTCAAAAACCAGACTTAGTGGTTCGTGTCTGCCCTAGTACCCCAAAGATTGAGGCAGGAGGATGGGGATAATGAGAAGTTTGTTTGTTTGTTTTTGTTTTTTTGAGACAGGGTTTCTCTGTGTAGCTTTGGAGCCTATCCTGGAACTCACTCTGTATCCTGGGCTGGCCTCGAACTCACAGAGATCCTCCTGCCTCTGCCTCCCGAGTGCTGGGATTAATGGCGTGCGCCACCACCGCCCAGTGGTGATGATGAGAATTTCAGGTTTATCCTCAGCTACAAACTGAGGGGTCAGACCTGGCTTTTGGTGTGATTTATATATATAATATTTATATATATAAAATCTTACTGTGTTTAATTATGCATATGGGTCTCTGTGTATGTCCTTGTGAAGTGCTGAAAGAAGCCAGGATGTGATTCCTCTGGAGCTGGAGTTGGAGGCTGTTGAACCCTCTACCGTGGGTGCCGGGAGTCAAACTCATGCTCTTAGCCACTGAGCTGCCTCTCCAGCCCCGTCTGCCTGGTTTTTGTTGTGGTTTTTGAGAACAGTGCTCTTGCACTGTGGGCTCCACCTTCCACCCGCTGTCACATTCCAGGGTCAGTCACAGTTTGGGATCTGAGCTGTGTCAGTCTTCAAAGAGTACGTTATGCTCGTGGTGCTCTCCAGCTTGCTCCCGTGTCTCCTCACGTCTTCCTCCTTTTTCACTAGGGTCCTGCATACTCGCATCTGACGGAGTTTGCACCACCCCCAACTCCCATGGTGGATCATCTGGTTGCTTCCAACCCCTTTGAGGATGACTTCGGAGCCCCTAAGGTGGGGGGTGCAGGCCCTCCATTCCTTGGCAGTCCTGTGCCCTTTGGAGGCTTTCGTGTACAGGGGGGCATGGCAGGCCAGGTACCCCCAGGCTATGGCACTGGAGGAGGAGGGGGTCCCCAGCCACTTCGTCGACAGCCCCCTCCTTTCCCCCCCAACCCTATGGGCCCAGCTTTTAATATGCCTCCTCAGGGCCCTGGCTATCCACCCCCGGGCAACATGAACTTCCCCAGTCAACCTTTCAACCAGTCTCTGGGCCAAAACTTTAGCCCACCTGGTGGGCAGATGATGCCGGGCCCAGTGGGGGGATTTGGTCCCATGATCTCGCCCACCATGGGACAGCCTCCTAGAGGGGAGCTGGGTCCTCCTCCTCTCCCCCAACGCTTTGCCCAACCAGGAGCGCCTTTTGGTCCTTCTCTTCAGAGACCTGGTCAGGGACTCCCCAGCCTGCCTCCCAACACAAGTCCCTTCCCTGGTCCAGACCCTGGTTTTCCTGGCCCTGGTGGTGAGGATGGGGGGAAGCCCTTGAATCCACCTGCTCCCACTGCTTTTCCCCAGGAGCCCCACTCAGGCTCCCCTGCTGCAGCTGTTAATGGGAACCAACCTAGTTTCCCCCCCAGCAGCAGTGGTCGAGGTGGAGGCACTCCAGATGCCAACAGTCTGGCCCCCCCTGGCAAGGCAGGCGGAGGCTCAGGGCCTCAGCCTCCCCCGGGCCTGGTGTACCCTTGTGGTGCCTGTCGGAGTGAGGTGAACGATGACCAGGATGCCATTTTGTGTGAGGCCTCCTGCCAGAAATGGTTTCACCGAGAGTGCACCGGTATGACGGAGAGCGCCTATGGGCTGCTGACCACCGAGGCCTCTGCAGTCTGGGCCTGCGATCTCTGCCTCAAGACCAAGGAGATCCAGTCCGTCTACATCCGAGAGGGCATGGGGCAGTTGGTGGCTGCTAACGAGGGGTGACTGCAGTGTGGTGGCTTGGGGAAGTGCACATTTCTCACCGCGCTCTGGCAGAGTAATTACGTGGCGCTCGCTCCTCGTTTTTCCACTGGCTTCCCATCCCCATGGAGCAGAAACATGGTTCCCGGAAGCAGAAGCGGAACTGAGGCGTGCAGGCAGAGGAGCCTCGATTGCTGTTCTTTTCTGGGAACTTGTGCATTGAGATCCAGGAGGCTGAGGCTCTGCTGAGCAGAGCCCTCCTAGAGTCTGGCTGGAGGCGACAAGTGAAAAGGGGCTGGAGGAAATCCAGACGTCAAGAGTGTCCTGTGCGCAGATGACAGATGACCCTAACACCCGTGCCTACAATACCTATGTAGCCCCACGGCTCCAGCTGTAGCTTTTGGAGTCACGTGTTCAAGGTTTCTTCACTCCCTTTTATGGGTTCTGGAAACAAATGGGGATTTCTCTCTCTCTTTTCTCTCCCCCTTTGCTTCCCCTGGACCCTCCTTATTCCTTTCTCCTCAGAGCGCCAAATTCCTTAGAAGAAGCAGAGGTCCTGACTAGGGCAGTTGCTTGTCCGGGAGTCAAGACCGTAGATAAGAGATGCTGAGGAGATATCTTCCTCACACCAAAGTCACTGGTCCTTTCTCAGCTTCTCTTGGGCTTTTCTCAGTGACCATGTTTTTGCCAAAAGTTGGGATATGTGGTTTGACTGACCAGAATATTGGAAGATTGGCTCCCCTGGAAGTCTGGACTGGAGACATAACCCCTCTCCCCGCACATTATGATAGTGCGGTTCTTCAGCTCTTGGTGCCCTCTTTTCCTCTCTCAGGAGGAAGTCTGGAAAGGCGCAAAGCCCTTATACCTCATTCCTTCCCTGATGAAAGGATCCAAGTGAGGCCCTGCTGTGGCTTTGTGGGGATGGGGATGGGCAGCAGGATCCTCAAAGCCATGGTACTAATAGCTAAAAGAACCTGAATTTTTCTGCTTGGCCCTTTTTCATCCTGTGGTATCGTGTGGGCCTGGTGATACAGCAACTAGGCTTGGTTTATTCTTATTTTTGTAGCATTCCCCACCAGTGATGGGACTGAGGCCTGGTCAGGAGCCCCCTCAGCTTCTCTTACCTCTTTCCAGCTAGGCCATGTGCCCGTTCCTCATATGGGTAAGGACAGCAAGCTTGGGTGTGTCCCTCTGGGGAGAGATCTCGGTGCCCAGCACTAGGCATGGTAATGAAGGCCCTCTAAGTCCCGCCCCACTTGGCACATGGAAAGAGAAGACACTGGTGGAGTTGACAGCCTTTGAAGCTGAAGAGGAAGCGGGTGGGCCTGCTTCTTACTCTGTGCCCCCCAACTCCCAAACTTCCCATGTGCCAGCCTCTTTGCTCCGCCTTGTGTTGTGTTGTGGTTCTGTTTGCCTCTGTTACCTGTTGTTACTTTTGTATTGTCTCCATGGTTGTAAACCGCTCCTGGGAGGTTCCATCCCCCTGTTCCTCTCTACTGCTTTTTGGGAGAAAGTGGGTTGGCAGAGATGTGGTTACAGGATCTTTTTTATATGGTTGGACTAATAAAATGACTTGAAAATCCAAACAAGGACTCCCTTGTTAATCTGTTCAGTCGGTGTCACGGCTGGGAGGATGCTTAGAGAGCGGGGCAGTCCCTGCTCTCCACTGCTCCCCCTCCCCTTGATGTGGGAACCCTTGCTTTTGGAGCGAGGCTTGGGCTAGGCTGGAAGCCAGACATTCAGAGCCAAGGCCTCCGGCCTCGGTGCTGGAGTTCCACGAATGTCAGTATTCCTACATCCAGCAGATTTGTTAGTTCAATGTTTTATTTTGGGGGCACACAGGGAGATAGATCAGCAGATACAGATACTTTTGGCCAAACCTGAGGACTTGAGTTCAATTCCCCAAACCCATATGGTGGAAGGCGAGGGCCGACTTGGCAGCTGGTCCTCTGATGGCATATGTGCCGTGGTGTGTGTGCACCGCCACTCCCATACACGAGGGTTTGGGGTTCGGTTTTGTTTTTCGTTTTTTTAGTTTTGGGGCTGGAGAGATGGCCAGCAGCAATTAAGAACACTTCTGTTCTTTCAGAGGACCCAGATTCAGTTCCCAGCACTCAGTGGCAGCTCACAACCATCTCTAACTAGTTCCAGAGGATTTAATACTACAGACATGCAGGTAAAATACCCACATACATAAAGTTTTAAAATTGTTGAGATGTTTCATTTTCCAAGCTGGAGATCACAGTACTCCACCACTGAGTCACATCCAGCCCTGAATTTAATTTGTGGATGTTTTTCTGCCTCAGCTCTTCCGTCGTTTTTGTTTGGTTCAGTTTGGGATTTGTTGAAACAGTCTTGCTTTGTAGCCCAGGCTGGCCTTCCTCCTCCTCCTCCTGTTTCAGCCTCCCCAGTGCTGGGATTATAGCACCACCTCTTTTTTTTTTTTTTTTTTTTTCCATTACCTTGTGTTGGTGTATGATGTAATGAGGGCAGGCACGTGCACAGCGCGCCTGTGGAGGTTTTACCCCACATCCCGCCGCCGGCTGCTCTTTTGTTGTTTGGTTGTGAGGCGGGGATCTCACCATGTAGCCCTAGCGGGCCTGAAACTCACTACGTGGATCTGGCTGATCTCGAACTCATGAAGATAACCTGTCTCGGCCTCCCAAGAGCTTTCCTCCATTTTCAAAGCAGTGGCACCCTCAGCCTGCCGGCAGGAGGGCTATTTCTGAACCCACAACTTGCACCGGACCCCATCCCCCATCTTCCAGCTGTCTCTGTCCATCCTGGAGCCAACATGGCACCTGGTCCTTGCTGTCTCATCAGACAGCACCTTTCAGTTCTAGGTCTTCCTACTAGACACTAAACATTTCGAAAAGAGGGGAGGTTCCCCCCCGTCAAAAAGAAATTTTAGTTCGCTGGGGACCACAGTCCCCGACCGAGACATAAACCAAGGGGGAAGTACTGCGCAGATCTTCTTTTCCCCTCCTTGGGAGCTCAAGTCCAGTTTTTATTGGTCCAAAGTTACCCCCACCCCCACCCCCTGCGGGGAAGTCGACTTTTCACTGGTCAAACACCAGCCACGTGACTCCCCGCTATTTTTTTTTTTTTTTCTTTTCCGTCCTGGGCTGGAAACCTGGGGAGGTTACTACAAGTTAAGCTGAAGACTGAAGCGAGAGTCAGGTAAAGCCCTAGCTGGGGGTGGGCCGGCAGACACCCCCCACCGCCACTTTATCCCCAGATAACAAAGGAGGGCAGAGCTGTAGAAAAGGAGTCGGCACCCCGGCGTCCACACACTGCCTAACCCGGGACCTGAGGGCGGGGAAGGAAGGGGTAGATGATTCTGAAGGAGGAACTCAGGCAAGTTCTTGTGGTCCCAGGTCCTTCTCTTTAAAGGTCAGAGAAGGCTGTTAGAGGGAAGTGTGTACCAAACCAGACTTTACAGCTTTGTGCAGAGTGGGAGCACTCCCCCTTTAGCCGTGTTTTAGACACAGCACAAGTCAGTGACGGCGCTGACAAGATGTTCTTGTTGAATCCTGCCCGAGTGGAAGGGGGACAGCAGGGAGTGGGTTTTCTTTCTAGAGGTCACAGAGCCCTGCAGAATCAGCTGGGAAAGCTGGCAGCTGAGCAGCGGCACAGTTTCCTAGAGGGCTTCCTAATAAGGCATCGGTGTACTGGCCGAGGAGAGCAGGGATGCTTTTTGGTATCAGGGTTTGGGACCCTGCGTGCAGGGGTTCCAGGAAGTCCCCTGCTTAGGTTTGAGAAGGTTTGTCTTGTTGACCCAAATACCATACCATTGCTGGTTTCCATGGAGACGGTGAGTCTGACATCACCCTGGTTGCCATGGTGCTTAGTTCTGGAGGACCTGAGCAGGCTGTAAACAGCCAGGGATAAACAGGGACTTCTGCTCAAGCTGCTGCCACTTCCTTGCTGCCACCTGTTAACAGTCACACACAGCCACTGGGGATGGGACGTGTCAGGACAGTAGGGGGAGGGGCTGAGGACAGAAGGCTGAACAAGAATGGCTGTGTGGGTGTCACTAGAGGAAGGGGGTGGGGACGTTGGTCTTTTTTTTTTTTTTTGGACCTGGTATAAGGAAGTCATTGCAATTATTCTGTCTCCCTGTGGGATGGGTGCTAGTGTCTAGGAGACACCATTAGATGTCCTTTACCTGTCTTGGACTTGAATCTTGACTGGCAAGAGCCGTGGGAGATTTTAAGGTAATCATGAAGGACTTAAACCCAGCTGGAGTAGATAGGGAGCATTTAGCTGGTTTTGAAGGTAGAACTGCCGGACTCCCCCACCCCAGGTCCCCTTCTCAGTATAGCCTCTTCACGGTCTGCCTTTTCTGCCACTGGGGAGGCGGTTCCTCATCTGTCTCTGACCACAGTCCAGGACTCTGTGGGTCAGCCTGTCTGTCACTCCATCCTCACACCTGATCCCTAGCCCAAGGGCACAGCCTTGCTTTATGCTTGGCTTGGGAAGTAGGGGTGATACCTCAACCCCAGCTGCCCTCCAAGCTGATTAGCAAGAGTCCCCCCTTCACCCCCGCTTTTTTTGTTGCAAATTTTAATGTGATTTATGAATGGTAATCCTCACAGATCCCTCTTCTCAGTCACTTTCAAGATCCCGGAGATCAAACTGTAGAATTTAAGGTGGAGAGAAGGTGGAAAGGAGAGTGACTAAATGTACATCCAGGTGGACTTAGCTCTGCCAGGCCTGTAGTATTAGAGAGCTTCCTGCCTGGCCGATGCCACTCACTTCCATGGCAATCTTAGCTGAGCCTTGCACAGCCCGTGCTGAGAACCCCTAAACCAGTGGTTCCCTAATGCTGTGACCCTTTAATACAGTTCCTCGTGTTGTGGTGACCCCCAACCAGAAAATTATTTTGCTGCTACTTCATAACTATAATTCTGCTACTGTTAGGAAATGTGATGTACATATCCGATAGAGGGGTCACAACCCACAGGTTGAGAACCACTGCCCTACACCAAATGTGCAGAGAACCGATGGTGGATAGACCACTTAAGAAGGCTGCTGGGCCTTCTCTTGGGCTCTGTGGGAGGACTCTAGGGACCATGGTGGACCCAGGTATTGTGAATGGGACCTGGGGCGTTTCCCACTCTCTTCAGTCAGCCTCTCTGAGATTCCTCCCCTTGGCCAGAACACCAGGGGGTTGGACTTCTCAGCCTTTGGCCTCTTTGACCTTTCAAGGTCAATGCAGTTGCCCAAGACCCTGTGGATCTTGGAAGAGGCAGCTTCCTTGTGGCTTTTAGCAAGGTGAACCCCGATAGGAAAGCATGGGATCAGGGCAGGACTGAACTGGCCTGGGTTGTGGAGGCACCTGCCTAGCTTTTGGTGTCTGGAGCCCTGCCACTGCTGCCTGCCTCCCCGATGGGGACTCCCTCCTCCCCCTCTTCCTCCTCTTCCTCCTCCTCCTTTTTTTTTTTTTTAATTTTATTGATTTATTTTTATTTGATGTGCATTGGTGTTTTGCCTGCCTGTGTGCCTGTGTGAGGGTGTCAGATCCCCTGGAACTGGAGTTACAGACAGTTGTGAGCGGCCATGTGGGTGCTGGGAATTGAACTCAGGTCGTCTGGAAGAGCAACCAGTGTTCTTAACCGCTGAGTAGTCTCTCCAGCCCAGGAACTCCCATTCTTTTTTTTTTTTTTTTTTTTTTTTTTGGTTTTTTCGAGACAGGGTTTCTCTGTGTAGCTTTGCGCCTTTCCTGGGACTCACTTGGTAGCCCAGGCTGGCCTCGAACTCACAGAGATCCGCCTGGCTCTGCCTCCCGAGTGCTGGGATTAAAGGCGTGCGCCACCACCGCCCGGCTGGAACTCCCATTCTTAAGAGCGCTTTTCTCTGCAGGTGGCCACTCTGCCAACCCTGGACCACTGCAAGGATGACCTCTTCCTGCCCAGACTCAGACAACAGCTGGGTGCTTGCTGGCTCTGAGGTAGGAACAGTGGACCTGGGAGCTACACGGGAGCAGGGAACTCCTGCAGGGTGGACTGCTTTGACCCGAACCTGCAGGAGTAAGGGTCCTGAGTGGGAGTGCTGGGGACTGAAGAACAAAGAAGGCAAAAGCAATCGCTGGGACCAGGAGGCCTTCCACAGCTGATGACTTATGCCAAGCAAGTTTATTAAGAAGTACAGCATCTTACATACTATTCCCAAGGGAAAATGGCCAAGGTCAGCAGAGAGCTAAACCAGACAATGTTGGCAAAGAACACAGGATACCTCAGCCTTCGGGTTGATAACCACAGTCCAGGGGGAAGAGTCAGGTCACAAGAATGCAACCTGGACTCCTCCGAGGCACTGGTTCCAGCCCTCGACTAACCTTGCCAAGTCAGGACCTCTGAGAGATTCTTGGGTTGGTCTGGGTCCCGGCACTGCTTTCTGGGTCTGTCCTGTTCTCTTGGGCCTGACGGTCATCTGTGGTCCCTGTTGGCTCTTGTGGGGCTCCAGGGGCAGGGAGGATACCTGGCCCAGAGCTCTGGTGTTGGGGTTTCAGCCACACCTGGGAAGAAGGGACCAGATGGGTAAGCTGAGAGAAGAAAGGGACTTCTGGTGTGAGACCAGCAAGAGTGAGCTCATGAGGTGACAGAGGGAGCCATGTTGAGACTGAAGAGCCTTAGGGTAAGGTGGAGACCTACTGTAATCCATGTTGGAATGCTGCGAGCTAGAGTCTAGAACCCCAGAACTGGCTCAAAGGGCCTGATGAAGCATCAGGTGTTGTCTTCGGGTTACTGTGGCTGTGATGAAACACCATGACCAAGGCAACTTGGGACAAAAGGATTTATTTCAGCTTACACTTCAGGTAACAGTCCATCACTGAGGGAAGTCAGGGCAGGAACCTGGAGGCAGGAGCTGGTGCAGAGGCCATGGAGGGGTACTGCTTACTGGCTTGCTTTCCATGGCTTCTCAGCCTACTTTCTTATAGAACCCAGGGCCGGCAGCCCGGGGATGGCACCACCCACAATGGGCTGAATCCTCCCACATCAATCACTAATTAAGAAAACGCTTCATGGGCTTGACTAGTTCTGATCTTACGGAGGCGTCTTCTCAGTGGGGTTCTTTCCTCCCAGATGACTCTAGCCTGTGTCAAGTTGACATAAAATTAGCCAGAACAGGCGTCATCTGATGAGCAGACAGAGCAGAGCTGCTGGGTTGGACAGGAGCCCAACACCCAGTGTCATCGGCAGGGGATTGAGCCTTTGTGTGGCTGGCTGGGAACAGGGATAGGACTTATTAAGCCCTTGCAGCCTTCCAGGTGGCATTTGGGGAGGGCAGGAAGCCAGAGGGCTCCTGATACCACCAAGAAGGGAGAAGGGCTGGTAGGTTGGGAACTAGTGTCTAGAGAGGTATGATGAGGATGTGTCAGAGGGATCTGAGAGACTTCTTAGAACCACTCGGAGGAACTGGGCATAGTGGAGCAAGCTGTGATCCCACTACTTGGGAGATGGAGGCAGGAGGATCAGGGTGTTCAGGGTTGTCCTTGGCTACAAAGCAAGTTCAGGATACATGAAACCTTCTATCAACAAATTAACTAAAAATAAATAACAATTAAAAAAAAAAGACAGTAGCTAGAGAGGCCACAGAACTCCACTTAGACATGTTGAGTTTGAGGTACCCTTTAGGAGCCCAGCTGGGGATGAGGAGTTGACCTCAGCAATGACCCTGGGACAGAACACAGGACTAGTGCTCACTGGCAGGGATTAAAATAGGCTCTGTGCTCAGTCAGCCCTGGTCTCCTGTCATGGCGCCGTTGTTGACAGCTGGGAACCTGGGCCAAGAGTTTCACCTGTCAATCCTCCATTATAAACAAGAATTGTAATCCTTGCCTTGCAGGGGTGACCCTGAGAAAAGTGTGGTTTGTAAATTGCAAAGAAATATACCGAGGTCAAAATTGTTCTTGAGCTAGGTATGGTGGTGCATACCTTTAATCACAGCTCTCAGGAGGCAGAGGCAGGTGGCTGTCTGTGAGTCTGAGGCCAGCCTGGCCTACATAGTGAGTTCCAGGACAGCCCGGGCTATGTAGAGATGCCCTGCCCCCCTCTCCTCTCTCATCTGTTCATTTTTGGAGGGTTGGGGGAGATGGCTGAGTGGGTAAAACACTTGCCACATAAACATGAGACCCTGAGTTCAGATTCCCCAAAACCCAGTAACACTGGATATGGGAGTACAGGTTTGTAATCCTGGTACTCCTGTGATGAGCTAGGAGTTGGAAACAGGAGAATCCTAAGAAGTCTGAGGTCCAGCTTGTCTGCAAATATAGCAGAGAGTCAAGAGTTTCGCCTCAAGAGAGATGGAAGGTGAGGGCTGACAGCGAAGTTAGCCCTTTTCTTTGAGACAAGGTCTTGCCGTATAGCCCTGTCTGTCCTGGAACCTGCTCTGTGGACCAGGCTGGCCTGAAATTTGCAGAGATTCATCTGCCTCTGCCTGAGTGCTGGGATTAACCTCACTGAGGTTGATTTCTTGCCTCCACTCTCATACTGTGGTATGTGCGTGTGCCTGCACACAGAGAGAGATATTAAGAGAGAGAGAGAGAGATTAAAACAAAGAATTATCCCTGGAGAAGAGTGGACCTCTAGCTGGGGTGGGCAGGTGGCAAGCTGCCAAGGAGTTATACACAGAGAAAAGTTGGCCAAGCTGAGTAGTCAGAGCTAAAGGGCCAGGCTGCGAGTTGGCGCCGTGGGGTCAGGCTGCCTGTGGCGGGGGTGGGGGGTGGGGGGGTTGGGAGTTGTTGGGGGGGGTAGTTGGGCTTCTGCCAGTAGCTGTTGAGAGAGGGCCGTCAGGGGAGTGTAGGTCAGTGGGAAAGGCCAGAGAACTCAGAAGATGACTATGTGGTCGGGCAGAGGAGAGAACAGCTTCGGGGGGGGGGGGGGGGGGGGGGGGGGACCAGTGAGACCGTAACTGTGACCTGGGTTGAGTTGTTGGCTTGTGGGGAGGGCAGCACTGACGACAGGTGCAGGGACCCCCAGTACCATTGACCTCCCTCAGGGACTGACTGCTGGGCTGATGCCCTGGTCCCGGATGCTTGCTCACGGCTGTGATTTCACAGAAACCTGGCCTCTGGAGCAATGAGGAAGGTTAGGGAGTTGCTGAGTGGAAGAGACACTTTGGATATCGCTCCACAGTGGCGCGGGCCATAGTTTTCTTTTGTTTTATTTTTTGAGACAGGGTCTCTCTGTGTAGCTTTGGAACCTGTCCTGGAACTCGCTCTGTAAACCAGGCTGGCCCCAAACTCACAGAGATTCTCCTGGCTCTGCTTCCCGAATGCTGGGATTAAAGGCATGCGCCACCACCTCCGGCGCAGGCCATAGTGTTTGAGACCTGTGCTGAGGTACCTCAGGGCAGCTAGCCCCTCATCTCCCATCAGGGCATTCCTGCTCCTGGTTTTGTCCTGATGTCCTGACAAAGTATCCTAGAGTTCACCTCCCTCCCGATAGAACCTGCCTGTGGAGACTCTGGGCCCAGAACCCAGGATGGACCCAGACTCTGAGGGAGCCTCCCAGGCCCTTTCGGACCCCTCCAAGGCAGAGGACGAAGAACTAGCTGGGACCTTAAATGGGGAAGGTAATGGGGCCTTGTGGAGGGTTGGACATAAACTATCCTGTTGCAGGGCGGGGGCGGGGGCTTCTTTTTAGTTGGGAGGAGGGCTGTATGCTTGCTGATCTTGGTTTATGAGCGGCCACACTCCACAGTGGTTGGGGCCTGTGGGTGCTAGAAGGCTACCGTGAAGGAAAGTTCAGGGCTGTGGGTTCTTTTTGGGCTTTCTCTTCCATCACAGGGATGCTTTCCCAAACAGAAGGTTCCCAGAATGCAAGTGCTACTCTGCCCGAGGAGACTGAGGTCAAGGTAAGGTGCTTTGCTGGGGCTGGGAAGAAAGTGGAAAGAGCACTTCTCATAGCGGTATCCCCATCAGGGCACACTGGGATGTGATGGTCATGGGATGGAGCCTCCCGGAGACACACTCACCCAGGAAGATTTGCAGGCGACTCCTGTGGCGACAAGCCTGAGACCAGACACACAGGACCTGGAAAGTGAGAGCCCTCCACAGAACCTGCCCTCAAGTCCCAGAGCAGGTCAGGGCCCTTCTTACCTCTCATTTCTCCCATTTTAGAAAGTATGGGAGGGGGGTGGAGGGAGGGCTCAGCAGTTGAGAGCACTGGCTGCCCTTCCAGAGGACCTGCGTTCGATTCCAGCACCCACATGGCAGCTCACGGCCCTCTGTAACTCCAGTTCCTGCGGACCTGATGCCCCCTTCTGACCTCCATAGCATGCACATGGTGCACAGACATACACAGGCAAAACATTCATACATTTGATAAAGTAAACACATGTCAAAGATTTAAAAATAAGTCGAAAGTGTAGGAGAAGGTGCAGGCCTCACTACTGAGTACATGAGGGGCCCAGGCCCTGAACTTGGCACCACCTGCCCCCTTTCCTCATCACCACCCCTGAGGACACTGACACTCAGAGGAGTTAAGAGCTTGAATGGTGGCCTGTATCTGCTTGATTATGTCCTCTCTCCTTACTTCTAGAACAGCGGTTCCCAACCTTCCTAATGCTGCAGCTCTTTAATACAGTTCCTCATGGTGTGGGGACCCCCACCATCATTTTTTTGAGACAGGGTTTCTCTGTGTGGCCCTAGAACTTTCTCTGTAGACCAGTCTGACCTTGAACTTACAGAGGTCCACCTGCCTCTGCCTCCTGAGTGCTGGGATTAAAGGCCTGCACCACCACCTGGCTATAAAATTATTTCGTTGCTACTTCAGAACTGTAATTTGGCTACTGTTGTGAATCCTAATGTAAAGATCTGCTATGCAGGATATCTGATATGCGACCCCTGTGCAGAGGTCATTTGACCCCAAAGGGGTTGCAGCCCCCAGGTTGAGAACCGCTGGCCTCCAGGTTAAGAACTGCTGACTTGAACATAACCTTCATTTCCTTTCCTCGTGCGGGCTATGGACCCACAATGAGAGGAGGCTCAGACTTTCTGAGAAGCTCACTGGACTGAGCCGGAGAACAAAGAGAGGAGAAAAGACCCAGAAAGACTCATAACTCAGCAGTTCCAGAAGGAGTTCCAGGGAGACAGCTTAGTCAGGGGTGGGTGAGAATGAGGAAAGGTTGCTGGGCGGTGGTGACGCACACCTTTAATCCCAGCCCTCGGGAGGCAGAGGCAGGCAGATCTCTGAGTTCGAGGCCAGCCTGGTCTACAGAGTGAGTTCCAGGCCAGCCAGGACTACACAGAGAAACTCCGTCTCGAAACACCGCCCCCCACCCCACCCCAAAACAAAACAAAAAAAGAAAGAGGGAGAGGCAGGGACATAGTTGGAGGTGCCATTTGAGAAGAGTCTTGAGCATAGAGTAGGTCAGGGGAAAACATTCCAAAGCTTTGGTATCAACAGAAGAGTGGGGCTAGGCCAAGGTCTGTCCAAGGCAGGGGCAGAGGTGACCGGAGACACACCCTCCCCCTGCCCTCCATCTGTGGAAGATGGCCAGGGAAGGAAGAGGTTGGGGCCCGGGGCCATTAGGGGCCAGCTGCAGGAGTCTAACAGAGGTAGGACCTAAGGACTAAGGCAGAGACTATGAGGCCTGTGAAGAGAGTGGATTTATGGAGGCCGTCAAGCGGAGAACTGTCCAACTGTCTGATGTGGGATGGAGGGGGAGATTGAGGTTAGTCGGGCAGCAGCATGCCTCTCCCTGAACCAGAGGTGGGGCCGCACTAGGAAAGATGGATTTGGAGGGTAGTGTGCTGAGTGGTTTTCCTCCCCTGGGGGAGGACTTCCAGTCAGACAGGCAAGCCCGGGGCACTGGGGAGGCCACCGAGGGGAGGTCAGTGGGGTGGGCGAGAGATTATGACCATATGGGAAGGGAGAGAAGGTACTAGAAAAATCATTAGTTTTAGGACAGGGCAACACCAAAGCAGCATGATGGCCCAGGAGTTCCGAGGGACCCAGGAGGGTGGCATCCTGTGTAGAAACTTGAGGCGAGGCACACTCTGGAAGGAGCAGGACGCCTTTAGGATGGAACAGGGCAGTCAGTCAGTACCTAGGCCTAACCGGACAGTCTTCATGCGCCTTCTCCGTGGTCAGGGCTGGGGTTTCCTGTGTCTGCCTTCTCTTCACCTCTCCCCTTGTGCCTGTCCTCCACTTGCCTCACTGCCGTGTCCCCTCCCCTTCCTCCAGTTTGGAAAGACCGCCACTGCTCCAGCAGTGACGAAGACACTGACGTGGATGTGGAGGGTCTGCGGAGACGGAGGGGCCGGGAGCCCGGCACACCCCAACCCATGATACCTGTGGACGTGGAGGACCAGGCCAAGGGCGAGGGTGCAGGAGGCGAGCTGGGCATCTCCCTCAACATGTGTCTCCTGGGGACCCTGGTTCTTCTGGGCCTGGGGATCCTCCTGTTCTCTGGTGAGTAGTACTCCTGGCTAGGGCCTCCAGTCTGTCCTTTGGCCCTGCCTTGCTGCCCTGGCCTGTCCTCACCTCTCCCTGCTTCCCCGAGAGCCTCCTCAGACTGTTTCCGTCTTCAGGTGCGCTGTTGGAGCCTGAGACCGGTGAGTAGGCAGAGGTCCCGGCTCGCTTTCTGGGTTGGTGCTAATGGGAGTCTGTATGGGGAGTGATCCCCAGGTAAGGTGTTCAGGGCTGCACATTATCTCTTGGTTGTTGACCTTGTCAGCTGTTCAAGGTGACTTTCGTCCCTTTAGCTCAACAGACCTGTGAGCCATGGGGTGTGTTCAGGGAGAGGGGTGATGGGCTCTATGGATCAAGGGACTGGATTCAGAGGCTCACTTACCCACAGGGCCCATGGAGGAAGCAGAGTTGCAGGTCTTTCCAGATACTGAGCCAGAGACTGAGTTGGTACATACTGTAGGGAACAGGCAGGTATGTATGGGTTTTCCATAGGTGTGGGGGCACCTGGTAGGGAGAAGCTGGGTCGCCCTGCCGGGGAGGGAGCATGAAGTGGCTGCTCTTCTGCCCTCAGGATGAGCTAGAGCAGCTGCAGGCCTCGGTACCACCGGACAGTAGCCCCAGCCTACAGAGCATGGGGCTTCTGCTGGACAAGCTGGCCAAGGAGAACCAGGATATCCGGCTGCTGCAGGCCCAGCTGCAGGTGGGCCCTAGCAAGAGGGAGGGGGTTCATCTGGCCACCTTCACCGGGCATATGTCCTAGTGGGGCTCCCCCAGGAGAAGTTCTCCCTACTCATCTGACCCTTGAGACTCACCTTTACCACGGTCGGTTGTCAGGGTGTCTTGGTCTGTTTACCTCCCTCATGCTAAGGGCTGTCAGGGCTGGTGTACTTGTTTACCTGGCCGGTCACCTCTGATTGGTGGCTGTGGTCTTCCTGGAGCATCTGAAGAACATGCCGCGGCTCATGCCAAGTGCTAGGCTCAATGGACAGTGCCTGTCTAGATCTAGGAAATGGAAATGAAACCAGGAAGGCTAGACATGGGCTCTGGTGGGTCTAAAAAGTATGTGCTTCTGGAACGCCATAGATGCTGGAACTCCATAGATGACCGTCTCAGGACCTGGCTCAGGTTAGGGGTGGAGAAGAGGAGGAACCCATCTGGCTGTCCAAGGCAGCACTGGGGCTCAAGTCCAGGGCCTTGCATACACTAAGCAGGCTCTCTACCAACAGAACCAGCTCCTGCCCACTCTAATAGAATAGAACTGGGGTAGAAGGCTTTGTGCTCACCCTGACAAGGACTCCTGTTTTCTTCTGTTCCTAACTACATTCTAGGCTCAGAAAGAAGAGCTTCAGAGCCTGCTGCACCAGCCCCAAGGGCTGGAAGAGGAGAATGCCCGACTCCGGGAGGCCCTGCAGCAGGGCAAGACCTCCCACCAGGTCCTAGAGTCAGAACTTCAGCAGCTAAGGGCCCGACTCCAAGGCCTAGAGGCTAACTGTGTCCGGGGCGTAGATGGGGTGTGTCTCAGCTGGGGTGGAGGCCCAGGTGACAAAGCCACCAAGGAGCAAGGCCACAAGGGACAGGAGCCAGACCCCAGCTTATCAGAGCAGCAGAAGCGGCTGGAGGCTGAGGCCCAGGCCCTGAGGCAGGAGCTGCAGAGGCAGTGGCGGCTGCTGGGGTCTGTGCATCGTGACTTGCAGAGGGGCTTGCAGAATGCTGGCCAAGGAGCCCCAGCTCGTGCTGGCCTGGCTGAACTTGGCCACGTGCTGGCCCAGACATTGCAGGGCCTGGAGGACTGGGGTCGTAACCCCGGCATTCCTGCCAACGACTCGGGGGCCTGGTCCCAGAAGAAGCCCCACTTCCAGAATTCCAGGGAGTGGAGTAGAAAGGAGAAGTGGCATGGTGGGCCGAGGGACCAGAAGGCTGAGCACGGGAAGCATAGGAAGGAGGAGTCTGGCCGGGAGAGGAAGAAGAGCTGGAGGGATGAGGACGGGGAACCAGCCGGGGGGTGGAAGGAGGAGAAGCCCAGGGTAGAAGAACTGGGGAACAGGAAAGACGGCAAGCGGCAGGACCCCAAGGTACACCCTACGAAAAGTGGGAACACCCACTCTGGAGAAAGGCAGAAGCGTTCTTGGGGGAAAGACAACGGCCCTGACCCCCTGTCCTCCTGGGAGGAGCTGCTGAGGCGCAAGTACAGGCCCCCTCAGGGCTGCTCAGGGGTAGCCGACTGTGCCCGGCAGGAGGGCCTGGCCTTTGGCACAGAGCTAGCCCCCGTGAGGCAACAGGAGCTGGCCTCGGTGCTGAGAGCGTACTTGGCGAGGCTGCCCTGGGCTGGGCCGCTGACCAAAGAGCTGCCCCTCTCACCTGCCTACTTTGGAGAAGATGGCCTCTTCAGGCATGACCGCCTTCGCTTCAGGGACTTTGTGGATGCCCTGGAGGACAGCCTGGAGGAAGTGGCAATAAAACAGATGGGTGATGACGATGAAGTGGATGACTTTGAGGATTTCATCTTCAGCCACTTCTTTGGAGACAAGGCGCTGAAGAAGAGGTGGGAATCTGGGGGTGGGGGGTGTTAACAGCTGAGAGGGATTTGAAGGCATTGGGACCCTGAACAGAAGAGGTCTCTAGATGGAGTCCTCTTCATTCCTGATTCCCAGGCCTTAGAGAAGGCTTCTGGGTACATTTCCTGTCTTCCCATGAAGGGCTACAGCAGTCCTGAGGGGTCCCCTTTAGAGCTGGGGCCCCCTTTTCCGCCTTGCCTGTACCCACAGGGCCCCTTCCGGCCTCCCCCAGTGGGTCCGTGCAGGGAGCCCAGGTCTCTCCCTCCATTGGCTTCCTCCAGAAGAACAGGGCTTTCCCATCGCAGTGGTTCTGTTTCCGAAAGGCCTTTCCCCGCCTTGTTCCCCGTCTCCCCACAGGTCAAAGAAGAAGGAGAAGCACTCCTGGAACCCCAGAGTTGTGGGGCCCAGGGAAGAGCATGGCCGCCATCCCCACCACTACCACCATGGCTGAGCTCTGCTCCTGCTGCAACAGATGACCTTGGCAAGCACCCAGCTCAAGGTCCCTGGAATTGACTCTAGAAGCTGTGTTCCCACTGTCCAGTGGGTCCCTCTTGGCTCTTTAGTGCCCTCGAGTGCCCTTCACAGAAGACAGCAAAGCACTTGGCCCTGCACTGGTACCACTTTTGCTACAAAAAGACCGCAGTTGGTTCTATGCAAATACATGCAAACGCTGAAGGCCCTGGGTACTGAGTGTGTAGGGGCCTGCTGGGGAGCCTGCCAGGGACGATTCTGAAGCCAGAGAGCTGTTCTCCTTTTTTTGTGGCAGCCCCCAGGACCACAACAGAGCCTGCAAGCCTGCACTGGAGCTGCTGGTTGGAGACTTAGCTCCAGACCCTTGCCCTGGGGTTTTGTTAGCTTTGGAGGCAGCTGTTCCCCGAGCGTGAAGTGTCCTTGTTATCATGCTTCTCCTGTGGCTTTCGCCTCCCTACCTGAGCTGCCACTGGAGGTGGTCTGTCAGTTCAGGGGACACCACGCAATGGCCACTCCGGTGGATGGGTACAACCTAGACACCACACTCAGCCCTCCCGTCCTGCTCCCAGCCCTCCCGCCCTGCAGCCCCTCCCCATGCTCACCCACCTTTCCCCAGGAGCCTAGCCTCGAGCCCAGCCACCAACTGCCTCACTGTTGCCCCGACTGAACCCCTGTGGAACCCTGGGCTCCAATCCAGGCTGGGTAGCCTCAGGCCAGGTCATCACAGTATTCTTATCCTCGGAAAGTGGACTGAGGGCTAAGGAACAGAGTAAATAAAGCTCGGAAGCAAACACCCTGCTTCTTCCACACAGGAGTTGTTCCCTTCTTTGGAGTGTGCTGTGGAGGGTTGGGAACACCCTAGCCTGGTGCCTGGGTCTGTGGAGGTGAGGGAGCCACTAGGTGGCACTCAGGCTCCACATTTCTTCAGCCTTTGCCTCCCTCCTGCCCCTAGTTACCACCCCACATCTCAGACCCCTACCACTGACTAGCTCTCAGGAAGTCCAGAATGCCCCTGGCTGATCTTTAGGGAGTCCCCCTGAGTTCTAACTTCTATGCCATGGGTAGCACATTGGGCTTCTAGACTACCTTGGAAATCTCCCAGGGAGTGTAGGGGCTAAGGCATGCGGGTAGAGCGGCTTACTCAGGCCGGGTCAGTTAGGGAGTGGAGTAGGCGCTAGAATAGGTGATTGGTCTCTATTATTTAGCAATACTCTCGCACCACTGTTTAAAGGCTTTGAAGTGCACTGGCTTGTTTAATTCTGGGGCTAGACAAGACATGTGGAAATGGAACAAGGTTGGCTCATTCCACAGACATTTGCAAAGTCTGTTGTGTGGGGCTGGAGAGATGGCTCAGCTCTGGAGAGCACTGGCTGCTCTTCCAGAGGACCCAGGTTTGATTTCCAGCACCCACATGGTGGCTCACCACGGTCTGTAACTCCAGTCCCCAGGGATCCAATGCTCTCTTCTGGCCCTCTGGGCACCAGGCACACACATAAGCATACAGACATATGTGCAAACAAAATGCCCACACATATTTTTTTTTTAAGTCTACTGTGTATTGTATCAGAACCAGTGAGGTCCTAGGAACGTAGACCCTTTAATATGAATGTAACCTGCAGCAGGAAGAACGTTGGTTAGACTTAAGAAGGAGCCTTACGGGTTGGGAATTTAGTGGTAGAGCGCTTGCCTAGCAAGCTCAAGGCCCTGGGTTCGATCCTCAGCTCAAAATAAAAATTAAAAAAAAAAAGAAAAAAAATGAAGGAGCCTTACCTTACACAGATCAGTGATGTAGGCTGGGCCTTCAGGAAGGAGCCTTCCATTTCTAGGATGTTGATTGGATTCCATGCCTCTCTGGACCACTGTCCCTCAGGAGGAAGCCAGCTTTAGTCCTGCGCATGCTGCTCACCTTCGGGTGTTCAAAGACCATCCTGCCTAAACAGCTGAGGTGGCCCTGATGGCTGGGAGAGAGCTCAAGGCCAGAGGCAGGCAGGATCCCTTGTCTCTCGGGGTGTTGGGTCTAGAGGTGGGGATACACGGGTCTTCTTTGGTTTCCTAGAGGGTTTTGGTGTGGGGCCTTCTGGCCTCTTGTTTCCATGACAAGGGCTTATTTCTGTTGGATGACACATTTTGGAGTCTGGGAGCACCTCGAGTGCCTTTCTCTTCCTACACAGCCTTTAGAGGCTCAGCTGCAGGGTCCGAAACTGCCGAGTTAGGGAGAAAAGAAGAGCCATTAACCCAAGGGACATGTCGGGGAAGGCCAGGGAACCTGGTAAATTGGGGCCCCATGGGAGGAGGGCCTCATACCTACCATGGTTCTGAGGCCTCTCTCGGTCACCTGCACAACCCACAGCAACACTGAAGAGTGACCTCGAGAGCTCCTCTGACTGTGGGGTCCGTGTGTGGAAGGGTCGGCGGCAGTGCGGACCCTGCCCCCTGCCCCCTGTGCATGCGGACTTGGGGGCAGCACTGCAGGGCAGGGTGATCCTAGGAGAGTCACTGGGTGCTGCCACTGGTCCCTGTTGGCTCTCTAGGGTCTGGGCTGGGTGTTTGGCTTAGGTTTCAGTTCTTGCCCTGGGAGTTTGGGGGGAGGGGGTGGGATGCTGCCCTCAGAGTGGCTCTGGGAACCTGGTAGGGGTGTCGCTAGAGTTGAGGATAGTCTTGGGCCTCCCCCCTCTTCTCTCCCCCCACCTCTTCTGTTCTTCCCCCTCTCCCTTCTCCTCTCCCCCACTCCTCTCTCCTCCCCTCTTCTCCCTCCCCTTCTCTTCTCGTTGGAGTGAACCCAGGGCTCCCCGTGTGTTAGCCCAGGAGCGGCACCTCCTGCTATTTTTATTTTGAGACAGGATATTGCTGTAGATCCCTGGCTAGCCTCAAACTTCCAATCCTGCCTGAGTCGCTGGGACTATAGTCATGTACCACCACGTCCTTTCCAGGGCCTCCTACTTTTAAGTGGAAAACTTATTTTTCCTTTAGCCAGTGCCCAGCACTGCTTCCCCAGGGGCCGAGATCTGTTATTTCTCTCTTCTGTTCCCGCTTCTCATTCCTCTCCCGCTGAGTTTCCAGGTTCCCCACATGCCTTCAACCCAGCCTTTACCACCGTGGCCTGCCTCTCTCTATGCCTCCTGCAGCCTCGGACCCTACTCCCTTCCGCCCTCCGCTTGTGAGAGAATGACAAGTCACCCCTGGTCCTGTCTGTCCCTAGAAGCTCCCGAGAGTCAGTTAGGGAACGTAGTACCTTTGAGAGCTGCTCCCAGGCTCCTCTGCTGGGCCCAAGGACAGACCACAGACTAGCTAGCTGTTGCCATGGGAACCTCTCAAAGGCGCCCAGATGCAGGAGCTCTTTATATTCAGCCTTGTTCTAGGCCACAGATGTGTCTGTCATATGCTTACAACAGGGCCTAGGTGGCTCCCCCCTGGAGTGCAGAGCTGTCCTCAATCCAGACACACCAGGTCTCTCTCAGCCTTGCTGCTGCTGCTCTGACCTACCTGAGCCGCAGAATCCCACTTCGATTTCTGAGTCCGCCGACCCTCCCCCACACCTGGCCCCTCCCCCACACCTGGCCCCTCCCCCTGGGATGACCTCCTTTTCCATCACTGTTTCACTTCCTCTGGGCCAGGTGCCTTAACTAGAACTTCGGCCTGAGTAAGTTTGGGGTCAGAAAATCTAACATGTCGGGTTCTGACTTGATCCCCCACAGGGCCTGGCTGAGATGTCCATACTCCCCTAGGGCTCAACCAGCCTCTCCTGAAAGTGGGAACGAAGGGCAGTGTCTCACGTCAGTGAGTCACCGAGAGATCAGCGACAGGGCATCTTCAAGCTGTAGACTACAGTCCTTTGTGGATGTATACAGGGAGTTCCTTCTAGGACCCGTGGTTGATGCTCCAGTCCCTTATATAAAAGGGCGCAGTGTTCACATATTCCCAAAGCACAGGCCCCCGGGCAGTGAAAACACCTCTGCTTACTTATGATGATACCCAATGTGATGTGAATGCTAAGTACTTGTTAGACTGCATCCTTTGGTGGGTAATAAGGGGAGAAAAGCCCACATATGCTCAGAAATTTTTCTTTTGTTTCATTTCTGTTTTTGTTTGCTTGTTGTTGTTGTTTTCTTTTCTTTCTTGTTTTTTGAGACTGAATCTCTCTATGTAGTCCTGGCAGTCCTAGAACTCACTATGTAGACCACTAGCCTTGAGATCATAGAGATCTGCCTGCCTCTGCCTCCTGAGTGCTGGGATTAAAGGGATGTGCCACCATGCTCTGCTGTTTTTGAGTCAGGGTCTCATGGAATTCAGTCTAGTTTGAACTCACTATGTAGCTAAAGCTGCAAGCTGGCCTGATCCCACTGCTCCAGCCTCCTCAGAACTGGGGTTCCAGGCACGTGTCCCCATAGCAGGCTCCTTTCTTCCTCTCTCCTCCCCTTATTCCTCCCTCTCTCTCTCTCTCTCTCTCTCTCTCTCTCTCTCTCTCTCTCTCTCTCTCTCTCTCTCTCCTTCTTTTCCTTTCCCCCCTCTCCTGTTCCTGTTCATTTTTGTTGGTTATGCCGCCGAGCTGCCCCTCATGGCTGGTCACCGCCCGCGGCGGCCATGCCCGCGGAGGAGCGTGCCCGCGGAGGAGCGTGCTGATTGAAAGAATCTTAGCCATGGTTACCTTTTTAGAGCTTTATTGTGGGGGGGGGGAGAGACAAAGAAAGACAGAGAGAGAGAGAGAGAGAGAGAAGGGGGGAGAGAGAGAGAGGGGGACCGATGGGGGGGGGGGGAAGGAGCGCAAAGGAGAGGGGACAGAGAGAGAGCCCACAGAGGGCTCAACCGCTTTTTAGGCTGGGAAGCCGGCGAAGGCTGATGACGTAATTAAAGGACGTAAATAAGGACCAAAACCTTACATCCCAGACTTTCCCTTATTATAAAAAAAAAGCAGGTAGATGGGACTAGGGGCGTCGTTCCTCTCAAAAACTGCTTCCAGCTGACTTTTGGACGTTGGTTGGCTCTTGGGGGAATGGAGAAGGGGAGTCTTCCGAGGTAGACAGGCGTTGTGGGATGCTGTCTGTCATCCGTTTGCTCTGGAGACATGTATCCCTCTTGGCTGTGGCTGGGAACTTTCTGTTTGACAAGATGCTGGTGACACAGAAAAAACTTAGAGAGAGAAAAGAATCATTATTATTTTATGTTGACATTTATCTGAGGTAGATCTGGCCTGTCCCTATGGATTTTGAAACATGTTAAGCTTTATCAGAGACAGATTATTTTAAAGTACCTGTTTCCTTTACTGGTTCAGCATCTAGGAGACAGGAGATCAATTGTTAAAAGCATCTCATAGTAATAGATGTTTACATTAAAGTCTTTTTGTAGCGCCCAGACGCTTTTGGGTCTGGGGGTGTAAATACCTTTTAGCTGTTGCAGTTTTTTATTTGATGATCTCTGGTCTCCGGTTCTGTGGTGGTCCTGTACCATTAGCTGAACAGTGAGTTAGAACAGGAAACTGGGAAGAGAAAAGCTTGTGGTACATGAGAAAATTTTTTTTTTTTTTTTTTGGAATTAGGGACAAGGCAAAGACCAGGGCCCTGTCTGTATGCACATGAGAAACACAGGCAGTGGATCTGGAATGAAGCAATGAGCTCTTATTTTAGGTGGAAATCTTTTTTTATTAAGTAACTCTGAAAGTGCAATTAAATCAGGTGAGGTGGTAAGGCTGTCCTCTGTACCCGACAATAAAGGAGAGGTGGCATCCCAAAACTCCCAGGACTGAGTCAGTGGCTTTGGTGTCCAGAAGGAAAGAAACAGATCGCTTCCCTGCTGCGTTCTGGGTTCCCTGCCATGTCTGTAGCCAAGCCTAGGTCTGCTGAAGGTCTTAGCTTGATGTACCCATGCATCTTGGTGCCTGGGGGCAGTCAGCTGACTCTGTCTTTCTAGGTGGCACTTTTAACAAGGCTGTCGATGGCCTGGCAGGGCATTCTCTAGCCCGTGGCCTTTTTCTCACTTAAAACAGGGACCCAACAGCTTTTGGGAGTCAGCGAGTGCCAGCACTTGGCAATTTTGTTTTCGGGCTTTTATTTCTTCCCTGGCACACCTTAAATGCCACAGATGACTCTTTTGCCTGTGGGGTCAGGAGCCTTGCTCTGCATATGCTTAAGTTTTAGTCGGGGAGGTCTGGGGAACAAGAGACGGATTTTACTCTATGTCCTGAATTTTTTTTTTTTTTTTTTTCCTGCTGATTGATGGCTTAAGGACAGCTTTTGGAAGATCTGCCAGTAGGCAGACTATAAACCGATACTTTTTGGAAGACTTGTCTGAGGCTATAAGTTGTTTTTTTTTTTTTTTGGCTTAAGAGCCATCCTGACTACTGTAAACTTATTTGTATGGATCTTAGCCGCTTTTAGACCCGTCTGTGCTTCTCAAGGCAGTTTGAGATGAGTGGGTGGAGTTAAGGTGAGTTAGGGCGAGTCCTAGAAGCCGCCCAAGCCCGCCCACTTGAGCCCGCCCACCTCCGGCGGAAGTCAGACAGAAAAGGTTGCACGTGGAGACTCAGAAGTAGGGAAGGAGCAGGGTTTCAGAACTTTAGCAGAAAGCTTGGAGATAAAGTGACTCTTATTTGCCCGTTCTCTGGTAGAAGTTCCCGCGACTCTGTTATGCGGCCAGATTTACACTGTTATGAGACCAGGTTTACCGGTGCCCGCCCCTATCCACCAATATATCCACCCTTTTGTCGCATGGGTGTAGCCGAGAGAAAAAAAATAAAAAATTAAAATAACAAACCGGGATCAGACTACAATCTTGGGCGTCCCCAAAGAGTGGAGAGAGATCCATGAATCAGCTCAAGTTCACCATCCTCTTCGTCAAGGGATGTGAAGGGCTGGAGCTGCGCCGCAGTTGATCCACCCGGTAGACCAAGACAGCATTTACTTTCTCGTCAGAAACGGAAATGTGCCGGTGCTGGTGCAGCTCGAGGACACCCCCGGGGTGTCCGTCGCAAATAATATAGCTCAGACTACAACCGCGCGAGAACGGCGGACTTACTGTGGTGAAGAATCATGGCGGTGGCGGTGTGGGGTCCAGCGGAGGCGGCGAGGGACGCGCGCGCGCTCGCGGTCTCGCTGGATGGGGGAAGAGGCGGCAAGCAGCAGCAGTCAGCAGGTCCTCGGTGTTCGGTGGTGTATCCGAGTCACGGCACCATTGTTGGTTATGCCGCCGAGCTGCCCCTCATGGCTGGTCACCGCCCGCGGCGGCCATGCCCGCGGAGGAGCGTGCCCGCGGAGGAGCGTGCTGATTGAAAGAATCTTAGCCATGGTTACCTTTTTAGAGCTTTATTGTGGGGGGGGGGGGGGGAGAGACAAAGAAAGACAGAGAGAGAGAGAGAGAGAGAGAGAGAGAGAAGGGGGGAGAGAGAGAGAGGGGGACCGACGGGGGGGGGGGGGGGGAAGGAGCGCAAAGGAGAGGGGACAGAGAGAGAGCCCACAGAGGGCTCAACCGCTTTTTAGGCTGGGAAGCCGGCGAAGGCTGATGACGTAATTAAAGGACGTAAATAAGGACCAAAACCTTACAATTTTCCCTCCTGGCTTTCTTCCATTTCCTTGTGGTTGTTTTATGACAGGCTCAGGCTGGCCTCAGATTGTGGCTCTCCTGCCTCGTCCCCAGCTGCTGGGTTATAGGCATGAGCCACAGGGGGCTGTTTCTTTCTTTCTTTCTTTCGTTCGTTCATTCTTTCTTTTCTTTTTTTTTTGAGGAAGGTATTCTATTTTTGTTTTGTTTTGTTTTTTGGAGGGGTGTTTTGAGACAGGGTTTTGTAGGCGGAAGTTTCTCTCCTGCCTGCCTGTTCCCAAATACCAGGCAGCTGCTTCTTAAATAATTGACTCCAAGGCTTAATATTAATTATAAATGCTCAGCCAGTAGCTCAGGCTTATTACTAACTAACTCTTACACTTAAAAGCCTTCTCTCAGGTTGGCGAGATGGCTCAGAAGTTAAGTGCACTGGCTGCTCTTCCAGAGGTCCTGAGTTCAATTCCCAGCAACCACATGGTGGCTCACAACCATCTATAATGAGATCTGGTGCCCTCTTCTGGTGTGCAGGGATACATGCAGGCAGAACACTGTATACATGATAAATAAATAAACCTTTTTTTAAAAATTACCTCCCTTTCTTTTCCCCTTCCTTCTTTCCTTCTTCCTTCTTTGTTATTTGTGTGGAGAGCGTATCGATGCTACTTTGTGTGTGGAGGTCAGAGGACAAGTTACCCAAGAGCTGGTCCTTCTGCCGTGGGGGGGGTTGGAGGATCGAACAGTTGTCCGACTTGGTGGCCAGCGCCTTCTCCTGCGGAGCCATCTCACTGGCCTTCTCTTTCAGTTTTGAGGCGGATTCTCGCTGTGTAGCCCAAGCCGACAGACCTGGAAGGCTCCTTTTCCTTCAGTGTCCTGCTTATGGGATTACAGGTGCATACCACCAAGTCTACTTACTGTTCAAATATTTTGCTGTGGAGTGGGCTGACTCCATAGATTGGAGCTCACTGTTTGATACAGAGGGCCAACGGAAGTGCTGCTGGGGCTGGAGAGATGGCTCAGCAGTTAAGAGCACTGGCTGCTCTTCCAGGGGACCAGGGTTCAATGCCCAGCACCCACAGGGTGCCTCACAATCAAAGTAAAACCCAAACAAAGCCAGTGGTTGTTTTAATTCTGACTTCTAGGGGAAACTGGGAGTGCCTGCGAACTGCAGACGGGGAGGAGAGGGCACCGATTCTCAGGCCTGGCTACAGCCCTTGGTTCTTGCCTTTCAGGCTGACTGGAGTAGTTTAACACAAGCAAAATGCTAACAGTACTTGCTTAATGCTGCCAGGAAGCCTCTGCTGGCACGTGGAGAGGACCTGGAGAGTGGCCTCTGAGCCAGCTGGTGAAAGACAGTAAGATCTTGGTGGTGGGGGAGGCGACTTCAGGAAGGGCAAAGGTGAGCTGGGGGAGGGGCAGGGGAAGGAACGACCTATGGCAGAGGAGTGCGAAGCCCGCCTGTGGGCCAAGGGGGTCTCTTCCATATGAGAATGGCGAGGGGTGCCCCCAAAGGCTTTGGAGGGCGAGGGAAGATGGATGAGCATTCAGGGAGGGTGGGAGCCTGAAGGGTGGGCGGAGAGATGGGGAGTGGGTGGCGCTGATGTGCGCTTGTTGTAGGCTGTAAATTATTACGGGCCAGCCTGGAAGGAATGAGGACAAGGAGAAATCAAGGCTACTTGGCCTCCTAGCCTTGGGACAAGTGGATGACTGTGCCTTTATGCAAGGTTGGGAAAAGGGGGAAAGTAAAAGCTGGTTGGGTGGGGTGGGATGGGTGGGGTGGGAGGGTGGGTGGGACGGGTGGGGAGGGGCTTGGCTTGATTTGATGATATATGGGCTTAGGAACAGGGCTGGCCGACCTCTGCCTCCACCAAGTTTTGATGCCCTGCCTCTAGACCATGACATCGTCCTCCCTTCATTCCTCTAGGAGGGGGTGGGGTAGGGTGTGCACCCTTGGGAGACATTGTTACCAACCCAGGACACTAACCTTCACTGACCCTAAAGGGGGGCACCCAGCAGAGCAGGCTGAGTCAACCCCTGAGGTCATCACTGAGACCCTGTTCTGAAACCCGAAGCCACATGGCCTTGGGGTGGGAGGAAAATGCTGGGGGGCCTGGCTGAACTGCCTGCCCTGGAGTGTGGCTGTTGGCTCTTACCCAGGCATCTTTGGAGGGAGGGACTAACAGGGCCCATTAACTTTTCAAATTTTCTGTGCTTTTTAGCACACTGAGAGCTAGATGCAGAAGGAGGTAAGACTTTTTTAATAGGAAAAGAAACACACACACACACACACACACACACACACACACACACACACACACACACAGAGGGAGAGAGAGAGAGAGAGAGAGAGAGAGAGAGAGAGAGAGAGAGAGAGAGAGAAATTAAGAGTTGGCTATGGTTTTACATGAGTTAGGGGTGACGGTGGGAGACCAGTGGTCTAGGCAACATATGAACCAAAGTCCTGGCCCTCCCCATCCCACACAGAGTCAAGAATGTAATCAGATCTGAACTTACACTGCATGGTTATTACTGTTACTTTTCAGAGGCCTGGACTAGAACCCAGGGCCTCGGCCTCCTGGGCCAGCGTTCCTCCTGAGCTTCATTCAGCCCAACTGTGCTGTCTTCGGCTCCTCTCCCTCGACCTATGCATCCCATTTGCCACTTGGTGAAGAAGACAAAGAGAGGTTCTCCCCCTGCCCCCTGGGCTCCTGGTTCTGGAAGCATCTCCCCGGTCAGAGCTGCCATCTTACCAGCTCTGGCTTGTGGGTAAGAGGTCTGGAAGAGCCTGTACTGAGCATCCTTTCAGAGGTGGTTTGAGGCTCAGAGAGGAATGACTTATGCATGCTCCCAAAGTTTGCCAGGACAGATTGGACCAGGAGCCCAGGGTTGCTGAGCTCAAGGCTGAGTGTGTGCGTGTGCTCCTGTTCCTCCTTCCTGGCCTCCCTCAGTGTACCCCCGACCTGTCAGCACACACACACACACACACACACACACACACACACACACACACACACACACACACGCACACACACACTGAGCTTTGAATTTAGGCCCTGAACTGAGGAGGTCAGGCTTCTCCTCATCCTTGTCCCTTACAGCTAACTCTTTGCAGCAAAGTGTGGTTGTGACCACAGGGGGGCAGCAGCAGGACGGGCTGGAGGCTGGACCTGCTCAGGACTGGGATGGGAGAGACCGAGGGAAGGAAAGAGGGGCCTCAAGGGGCTGCCCCAGGACTTTGAGCAATTGGGTACCGGGTTGTGCAGTTCTAGCCTTGGGTATATCCGTAGAGGTCCCTTCTAACCTTGGGGGAAAGTCCTGGCCTCCCGGTCTCCCCCATGGAGCACCCATTCTTTTGCTCCTTCATTTCTTTCTTTCTTTCTTTCTTTTTTTTTTTTTTCGAGACAGGGTTTCTCTATGCAGCCCTGAGTGTCCTGGAATTAACTCTGTAGACCAGGTGGTCTTGCCTCTGCCTCCTGAGTGCTGGGACTAAAGCATGTGCCTGGTGGGCCTTCATTCTTGATCAATCATTTGGGGTACCACCCCACTCTATCCCGCATTGTGCCTGACCCTGCCTTGGTACCGCTTGATATGCTTTTAAGCAGCCGAGGAAAGCATGGAATGCAGCTGTGGGGGAAGAAGGAGAGGAAGAGGTTAGCCCTGCCTGTGGAGGTTGGACAAGCATGTCCAGGAGGCTGCCCGGCCTGGAAAACATCTGGTTTTGGAGTCAGACAGAGCTGCTCCCGTTATTTAGAGGTCTAGACCTTGAGACGAGTCTCTCAGCCTCTTACTTCATTTTATGTGTAGAAGTGTTTTGCTTGCATGTATGCTGTGCACCACATGCCTGAGGCCAGAGAGGCTGTTAGAATCCCCACAACTGAGTTACAGATGGCTGCAAACCACCACGTGGGTGCTGGGAATCCAACCCAGGGCCTCTGGAAGAACAGCCAGTGCGCTTAACTGCTGAGCCATCTCTGCAGGCCTCAGCCGCTCTTTTGATTAGGTGAGAAACGATCTGGCACACAGTAAGTGTTCAATAAATATGGAGTATTAGCTCTCTGGAGGATGGAGGTATGAGTAAGATAATAGTTATAAAATAAGATGCAGTAATGTAGGCAAATGTAGGATGGACCAGGAACTTGGAAAACGGGTTATCGGGGACCGGAGAGATCAGGGGTTAAGAACTGGCTGTTCTTCCAGAGGACTGGGGTTGATTCCCAGCACCCACATGGTGACTCACAACTGTCCACGGACCCCAGGGATCTGACGCCCCCTTCTGATCTCTGAGGACTCCAGGCATGCACATGGTGCATAGACATACATGCAGGCAAAATACTCATGCATGCAAAAGAAAGAAAGGAAGAAATGAAGAAGGGTATCAGCTGGGGGTGGTGGCAACTGCCTTTAATTCCAGAACACTGAGATGGGAGGACTTCAAGTTGGAAGGCAGCTTGGGCCACATAGCAGGACCCCATCTCCAAAGATCAAAACAAACAGACAAAGTGGTCCAGTCAGAGGAGTTAGGAAGTAAACTTCAGAGAGAGACATGCGGGTATTGCAGTAGGAGCAGGAGTTTGTTGCATAAAGGAATGGTGGGAAGGAACACCAAGTGCAGCTGCTCCATCCTCTGGGCTCTGCAGAGTGAAATGGTCGGGTCCCCAAGGGCTCACACTGTAGAGTGTATGAATATAGCCAGCAGACCTCCTTTAAATAGGCCTGTGGTGGCAGAGGCGGCAGCCCATGCTTTTGATCCCATCACTCAGGAGGCAGAGCCAGGCGGATCTCTGAGTTCAAGGACAGCCTGGT